ACAAGGGACCAAGTACTTTGTACGTCAAAGAGCCCAGGGATTTGGAGCGCTCATGAGAGCGGGCCTCTGTCCCATTTTCCGACGGTTGCATTGAAGTGTCACCTTTTTCAATGTCAGGACGTTTGCATAGGTCGTCCAATATGTGTACATACGCCGTAGGTCGTACTTCAAGCAAACGTGCGCATCTATTCAGCTGCCAACAGTCTCGTACTTTTCTCCTGTCAAGGCATATTATCATGGGGGGGGGCACAAATTGCAAAATGTCCGTGCTCACTCCGCACTGGCACTAGCATCCTTCGCTTGTTTTTGACGTTGACGTTGCCGTTGCCATTGGGCGCGCCTCTCCTAGCGATGAGGTTCGTCCCCAGTCTTACAAGACGGGCGCGTCACCAAACCGTCACCACAAAAGATGCGTCCTGGTCTTGCGGTCAAAGTTTCAAAGGCGACCTCACGGGGGCGAATTGGATGCACTTCCGTGCCCTATCCCGTGTCCTATCCAGCGCCCTATCCACTGAACGTCCGTGCTGGTGCACGGTGCAGGTCGTCGCACGTGTCTGTTCTTGACTCGAATTCTGCCGCCCGTTTATTCTCCGTGCCGTCTCTTGGTGTGCTGCCTGTCGCTTGTTTTTTGTGTGTCGTCGTTGCATTTTCTGTTTTATGCATCTACGCGCACTTGCCGGGCATGTGCTATCCCGGGCAAAGAAGGAGCGCCCGCACGGATGGCGGCAGCAATGTGGCGTGCAAAGGGCAGGCGCAATGGATGCGGTCAGCACCGGCTCTTAGTGACAGGTCAGACACTGTATGGTGTATTTGGAATGTTCGACGAACGACGTACTTTCACTACCTCTGATTGGACAATGGCACTGCATCGCACCTGCCTCTGCACGCGAGCTATCACTTTGTAAACAGACAAAAGGAAAGAAGGAGCCAAAATGAGTAAAACGCGACGGAGAAGGAACGAACTGGCATACAATAACGCCCACAAGGAAGGCGCTCTGCATGAACGGGCCCCGTTCAGCCCCTTTCCGGTCTCTTGTTGCGTGCCCCCTTTTTTGCTCACTTTTCTCCTTTTCTTTTTCTCGCTCGTCGTCGTCGCTGTCGCTTTTCTCACACTCTCGCTCGGCTTCTCGCGATAATTTCGTCTCAACAACAAAAGCCGTGGCGTCGCCGAAGCTCGAACCCCCGGTCTACCCCCGGTCTTTGGCATTCGGTACCGAAAGCCCTGGTTCGCAAGCCCTGGTTCGCAATCCACTCGCCGACAAGAAAACTCGAAAAACGAAACAAGACGAACAAACCAAACTGCAAAGTGGCAATGATCGACACTCTCCCTTCCACTCCTCTCCACAGCGAGTCACCGCCATCGCCCAGAGGCTCGCCCAGAAGTTCGCCCAGAGGTTCGCCTAGTGGTTCGGCCAGTGATTCAGACAACTCTTCCCCAGCCTGTAGTGCCCAGCTGTATCGCACGCCATACGCCAAACTTTTGGTTCAGCTCTCCCCCTCTAGGCGTGCAAATCGCCTCAACTCCGACCCTAACGGCGATCTCCCGCCCGCCGCCCTCCTCCAGATCGGCCGTGTTTCGCTCGCCCCGTCCGCTGCTCACAAAGGTGTACTTTGCTGCCTCGGCCACTTGTCTCTGGGTGTCCCTGCGATCACTCCCATTTCGAGCGTCTTCCCAGCCGAGTCTGCGGCTTCTTCTTCTCACAACTCTCAGCTCGCATGCTCCCCCTCTCTTCCCCTCCTTGCTGCCCCTCTTTCTCTTTTCTGGAGCACGTTGTTCACTGCACCTCTTCGCCTGCCTCTTTTGGCCGTTCCAAGTGGCCAGATGTTCCCCATCACTACCCAATCTGGCGGGGCCAGCATCCCTTTCGGTCGTTGATATCCTTGAAACGCCGCCCCAAGCTGTCCCAAGCCTCTCTGCGTTTTGTTCGAGCCTCTCTCAGGCTCTCGGCCGTTGTTAACAAGCAAAGATCTACGGATTCACCGGTTGAGTATCGAGCGCAGGATCTCCGAGCAAGTCGATGTATCAAGCTATGAACAAGCACAAGCAAGCTGGCAAGGAAACAAACACAAACTCACTCTTGCTGAAACCGCTCCTCCTAATGCTGAACCACATGCTTCCTCAACTTCCTATGTAACCCTCGGATTGCATCCGGCCGCACGCACACGCCCCCTCCATCACCACACTGTCGGGCAAGTACTCCTTGCGGAGTATTGACGCCTTCCAAGTCTGCGGTCTCGACAAAGTACCTGCTAGCTGTTCTTTGGCCACTGGCTCGTCATGTCTCTGATCTTGGCACGGTCCTGGGCTCTGGCTGGCTCTCCAAACGACACCAAAAGAAAGAAAAAGAGGAAAAAGGAATCTCGAGTCGAACTGGTTCGTACCGAGAACGACTTGCCCAAATCCCCTCTTGCTTTCGACTCCGGTGTTTCTTCCTGTCTTGAATGGCAACCCTCCCTCGTCTGCCCCCCTCCCCATTGCCTTGCATGAACCCCTGTCTGTATTCTTTGAATCCCCTCTCTGTTTCCCAAGGGTCTGGCTACAGCCAAAACTTGTGCATGCACTTGCTATTTCCGTTGCTTGGGTATGTTCTTAAGGTCGCGTACCGTTGTGCTCTATTTTGTCTCTTTGTGTCCGTCTCATCGTGTCCGCTAATTTCCCCGTTCTCCATCTTGACTTGTTATGGCTGCTACACTTTTCGTCGTCTTTACGATATGCGCTATTTGGTTTCCTTTTTTGGTATTTTGGTTCCTGTTTTCATTGGTTTTTTTAAACCCTTTTCGGTCTCCTCTATCTTCTGTCTCTCTCCACCCTATCTCTCTCCCTTGATATCCGCGCTCTCCCTGTCTCTCGCTCAGTCTCTTTCTCTCACCTGCTCCAACTCCACTCCCACGCAGAACAACGCCAAACACGACTGTGAACTGTCAACTCTCAGTCAATTGTGGTCCGTCTGGTCAACGGTTACCACAAAGTGCTCTAAACAAGATGGCTTTCAAATACCACTACGAGCCGTTGCCGCAAGACGAAAAGGCGATCCATCTCGCTTGCGCGTGCAAGCATCCTAGCATCCTAGCACCTACATGCCCCGTACAGAGTAATACGACATGCAAGCATCAGGCATCCTGGCATCATTGTCCTCTCGCATTCTCGCGTACTCGCATCCTTGCACGCCCAACGCCCACCACGCAAATCCCGGACCCATATCCACTCACGACTACACCCCCAGACCGTCACAGCCAAACTGGGTATCTCTCAGCCTTTTGGGCAAAGCGTCTATTTTGTCTCTTTCAACGTCGTCTGAATCCTATCCTGTTTTTTCTTTACATTGGTCTATGCTTTCCCGCATTTGGTTATGGCAATTATTGCTTGTGTTCTTTCCAATTGCCGTCCTGTCCCTATTTTCTCTGTTCTTTCTTCACATTATACCACCGATTTTGTGCAAGCTTCCTGCCAACCCGTCAACCGTCAACTTTTCATCACCGCGTCATCACCTCGTCACTTTCGTCACCTACCAACCACTATCCGATTTCGATTCGTCCAACCGTCCAGCGTAACATTCTACTTTACAATCCTTTTCCATTTGCGGCCGAAAACCGAACAAACCGTTTGCCCATACTCGTTGGTTGGCTTTCTCGTTGAAACTCAATTTAACACAGTCAAGCCAGGAAGATCCACAGAACAAAAAACCTCATAAACCGCAAACCCGGAACCCAGGGACCATCCTCAACACCTCGTCAATTAACACGCCCTCGTTCTCATTCTTCTTCACTTCTCGCATCCTTCCACCCTGTTCCATGACCAAAGACTGAGCGCCCATATTTCGACGTTTCGTGTTTATTTTATTTTCCGGCATCCTGCTGTCTTTCCAGTGATGTTACAAACAGAACAAAACACAAAACTCAGAGCAGAGACCAGACAGTAGCGAACGCAGATGAACACTGCCGACTTACACCTCTCCGAGTTCACTCTATTCCCACCTTTGCATTACTCGCACGCCCCTGCCTCTGCTATTAGTGTAAAAACCTTCCCACCACCACACACTATTTCCAGCCCCTGCCCGCCTTTTCACATTCTTGCTGGACAGCGCCTTGGAGTGTCTCACTTGTTTGTTTTCCCTTTCTCTTAGCCTTTCTTAGCCACACCCCCTCGTCCCTCCTCGTATGAGCATTTTTCGTCCCTTTATTTTTATTCTTCTGCTCTGTTGTTCTGTTCTTTACCCCCCTCTCAAACCTTTATCACTTCCCCTCTTCCCATCTTGAACATCTCATCCAACATCTTTCTTTCCTTCTCTTGCATCATTTACTTTCCTCATAATTCAGTCACTCGTCACACACAACATAGACACAGGCACAGACACAGACTGAACAAAAGAAGATATACACATACACGGACCACCAAGACCAACACCAAACCAAAATTGTATCGACTGTCACTCAACTGCTGCACTCGCCTTTCACGACCTGGGAACGGACCTCGCTGCCGTGAACCGCTTCTCGCGTGTTACAGTCGACGGACAGTTTGGCACCGGGCCTTCCTTCCCCTCCAACCGGTCACAATGTAAGATTCCATTTCCTCGTTTCCATTGTGTGCGTCACTTAAGCTCCACACTATTCGCTGCTTTTCTTCACGGTTCTGCCGGTGTAAGACCACAACTACGTGTGACGAGGTGTCGTGGAAGGCATACGCAGAACACAGAAAACAGAACACAAGACAGAACGGCATCTGAGAACTGAGGACAAGACGGGGGCGGGAAGGGCAAAGCCAAGCGGGCGGCTACCTGCCTCTTGCCGTTCTGTGTTGTCTTGCTTTAAAAAGCACACGTTGTGGTGTTGAGTCTCGGGCGGATCGCTTCTTCAAACATCTCTTGCACTCCATTCTCACTCTCACTCTCATATTTACTTTCTCACTTTCACACCCAACGTTCCTCTATACAATTTCAATTCCACAAGCACGGACTGACATGGCACCTCCAGATCTCATACCGCAAGCCATCTCGACCACCATGGCCAACGGAATCGACAGGCTCGAACGCCTGTTTTCCAAAAAGAAGCATGCTGCAGCGTCCCGTGAGCGGCAGCAGCAGCAGGCAGCCGACTATGCACCACCATCCACCTCCTACTCATCTCGCTTCGCGCTCCGCAAAGTATCCGCTGCTGCCGCGTCCCCTTCCTGGCCTACCCGCCACTCGCCTCTGAACGACATGCACTTCCCGCAGCCGTCCTTTATCCGCCCAAAGGCCGCAAGAATGGTTCCCCGCGACGACCACGCTCCCACCTCGCTCTCGCGTCCTGGCACGGCCAATCGCAGCATGAGCGCGCCGGACGGCCAGCCCGCTCTGCCGGCCCTGTCTCTCTCTGGGTCTACAACAGCGACATCGTCAGCATCAACGCGAGTCGTTGCACCGCCGCGGAGTGCTGGTGGTCCCACAGCACGTAGCCCGCATGGGCCCCCGGTTGCCTACACGACGCAGGCGAGGTCCATGTCCGTCACGTCGCCGCACCGTCGCACGTTTGACAGCCGTCGCAGCAGCAGCTCTATGAACTACAACTACTGCAGCACATCCGCCACCCTTAGCAGCAGCGGCAGCAGCACCATGAGCAGCAGTACGCACACCAGCTGCACCAGCAGCACTTGTCATCCCAATCGCCGCTCTTCCTTTGTCGAGACCAACTGTGAGCTCAGCGACGCTGCTGCCCGTGCCGTTCCCAACAACGGCCGTGTTCTGGCGAGTGTCAACGTCCAGCGCCTGCCCAGGCGGTCGTCTTCTCTTCTGCAGCGCCGCGACGTCTTTGTCTCGCCCCTCGCCAACCTGGACACCTACCAGATCTCGAACCAGGGCCGCTGTGACTCTGTCGCCATCACCACCAGCTCCGGCGAGGCCAGCCCGGCTACCGTCCAGGCCACGCCCATTATCCCGTCGTCGTCCCCTGACTCGCCCGGCCTGGCCCAGGACGAGCAGGGACGTCCGCAGCAGCAGCGGGAACACGACGAACAGCCCAAGATCAAGATCCAGGGCGACGAGCTACATGAACTGCGCGAGCTGCAAGGCCTCCATGACCTGCAGCACACGCCTCCTCTGAAAGATCTGCAGCAGCCGCTGTTTTTCTCTGTTGCCCAGCAGCAGCAGCAGCAGCGCCAGCAAGACGATCGTACCGACTCGCCGCTGCCGTTGTCTGCCTACGAGGAGGAGCTTATTAAAGCCGAGGACGTGCCGTTGCCACCCTCTCCCAAGCCGTCTGAGCTGCCCATCTTTACCGAGACGCCGCTACTCCGCCGCGATTCGGTCTTTTCATCCATCGTCCTGCCTCAGCAGAACGTCGGCCCGACTACAGCAACAACAACATCCTCTGCGTCTGCGGTCTCGGCTTGTCACCGGTCCCGCCTCGCTCGCCGCCCCATGTCGCTCCGCTACCAGCGCCACCTACCCATTGAGCCGAAGCCGTCGTCGCCGAACTCTGTGCTCATGGAGCCCGACTTGGGTGACTTCTTGACCCTCAGCGACGACGATATCGCGGAGGACGTGGCTGCTGCTGCTGCTGCTGCCGCCGCCGCCGCCGCGACTGCTGAGGACAAGGAGATTGCTCAAGAGACAAGAACGCCCCGTGCCTCGGTCATCACCGCTGTCCCTGCTGCCACCGAAAACGTCTCCTCTGCCTGTGCGCGGCCAGAGACGCCACGGCAGGCCAAGAGCACCCTGGCTCTCCAGAAGCCGCTGCCGCCTGCGCCGTCCGACAACACCACTCCCACTGCTACGTCGTCGCCGCCTGTGTCGCCGACGTCCCTGGCCCGCAGACGCGCTCTAGCCGCCGCCGCTCCTTCTCTCCCGCCTGCCTTCCAGGCACCGCCTCCTGCTTTCCTGTCACTGCTGCCTGGCATGCCACTGCTGCCCTCGCCCATGGCGGTCACACCCACCTCGGTGACTGCCAACGCTCGTCCCCGGACGCCGGCTGGTGAGGCCCGCATGGCGGCTGCCTTTGAGATTGCGCGCATTGCCTCCCAGTACAAGTTTGACCTAGCCTACATTGCCACCATCTGGCCCAAGAACATGGCTGTGTCCGCGGCAGCCGCCCAGCCGCAACCGCAGTCCATTGGCTGGCCCTCGTCGCCATCGTCGCCGTCCTCGCCGTCGACTGCGGCGAAGCTCATGTCCCGCACCAATAGCCAGACCAGCAGCCGCCCGCCGCTGAGCGGCCGCGGCGCCAACCGCGCCAGCCATGTGAGCCAAGGCAGCCAGTCCAGCACCCACAGCAACAGCAGCAGCGGCAGCATCAAGCAGAGCGGTGTCTTCTCGCCCGTCGGTATGCGCCAGTCCAAGCTCGAGGCGCAGTTCCTCGCTGCCTACGGACTGGCCACCGTCCGCGCGCCTTACAGCCTGTCGGCGCCAACGCACGCCAAGATTCTGAATTCAGAGCGCTGGCTTGAGTTCAGCGAGCCCGACGCCCAGCCCGAGGAGTTCTCGCGCGGCTATGGCTGTGCCTTTTACCGCGGTCGCGCCGCTGTGAACCCTACCGTCTCTGCCACGCCGGTGACGCAGCAGCGCTACCAGTGCCGCCCGTCGACGGACGACTGCGACGCCGACACGGAGCAGGACGCCCGCGCTGCGGTGCCCCGCCCGCGCCGCAAGGTGTCCACGTCGTCCTCTTCTTCTTCGTCGTCGTCTTCGTCCTCTACAGCCAACAACCGCGGCATCGTCTTCGTCGCCTACCGCCGCAAGGAGCTCGTCGACGAGCGTGCCCGCCGCCAGGACAAGGACGACCTCGAGGCCTTGTACCGCGAGGTCGAGGCTCTCGTCGACAAGATCCTGGATGTGCACATGCAGCAGCAGCGCCAGGCGCAGCTCGAGACGACACAGCCGCAGACGATGGCCCAGCGTGCACTGCTTCCCGACGTGGAGGACGCGCTGGCAGCGGGCTTCCCCGGCGCCGGCGCCGCCTGCACCCTGCGCCAGTCGCGTTTCCTCGGTGTGAAAGCGGCCTAGTCCTGGCTACATTACGTCAACTACATTGTCAATCTCTTTTTTCCTATTACGCCGTCTCTCATTCATATTTCCTTTGTCAAACTCTGTACATATGTATTTTGTCAGTCCTTTTCTCTTGCAAGATGTAAAGTTCACACACTACACGACGGGTCACGCGGGACAACGAAACGGTCTCTTTAGTTTCCTTTTCTTTTTTTTCTTCTAATCATCACATGGGCACGACGGCGGGGTGTACTCTTGCATTTTTCATGTCTTTGCATTTTCCTTTCCGGCTTCTTTCTGCTTTCTGTTTCTGCGCTTGTTATTCGTTCTTATTTTCTTACACCATCAAATACCCCATTGCACAACAGAAGTCCACATGGAACGGAAGCCAAGGACACAAGGAGGAGCATGGAGGGGTTTCGGAGACGCGGCATGCATATACCAAATATCATCTGATAGCATTTGATTTCCCTACGAATTACAAATTATGAAAATCATAAACGTCCACAAGATACCTCTCCTACCACGCGGCATCCGTAAAACTCTATATAAAAAATCCTAAATCAACGAAAACGCCGACCCCAGCATATAAATAGGGTATCTATAATTTGTTCTCCGTTCCCTTCGGTCCATTCCGCGCCTCTGCGTGCCTACATTCGCCTACGCCTCCTGGGTAAAATCCCACGGCTCAAACGCTGCCCGGAACGCAGCCACGTCGGCCTCCTCTTCGGCCTCCGTCTGCGAACACTCCTGCCACACCGTCCGCGTCGCTTCCAGCCCCAGCAGCTTCGCCACCACGCGGCGGCCGTACTGCAGGTCGAACCGCGCGCCCTCGTCCAGATGCATCACCAGCGTCTTGCCGACAATCTTGTCCTCGCTCGGGCCGTCGCCCTCCTGGCCGGCCGCCTCGCCCCAGATCCACACGCGAAAGTAGTCGCCCTCGATGGGCACGTAGGCCTCACCGTCTTTGGGCGCCGTCGACGTGTCCTCCACCAGCGGCGGCAGCTGCAGGTGCGCCGCCTCGACGCGGAACGCCGCCTCCACCAGCCCGCCGACGACCAGCGGCGCCGGCACGGGCACCAGCTGCCAGTGCACGTGCACGTTGCGCTGCCGGCTAATCTCCCACGTCACGGTGCCGAGCTGCTGGCGCGTGCGGCTCGCGACCATGGCCTGCAGGCTCTCGCGGAAGCGCGTCATCTCCCGGAACGTGTTGGCCGCCGTGACCTGGCCGTTGTCGGCGGCCGCGCTGGGGTCGTTGGAGTGCATGGCGCCGGCCGTGATGGTGGGCGCGTGGCTGAGCGGGACGATAATCATGTGGCCGGGAAAGCCGGCTCTGTCCTCGCTGTGGCCGTCCGCTGCGCCCGGCGCGGTCAACCCCTGCGCCGCAAACGTGGTCGGCAGCGGCAGCGGGCCTTTGGCCGTGGCCAGGTAGGCGTCGTCACCGATGCTGGCGACCATGTGAGTCGGCAGGTTGGGGTTCGACAAGCAAAAGAAGCAGCGGTCGGGGCCGGGCGGCGGCGAGGGGTTGCGGCGCGATCGCTTGCCGTGGCGACCACGACCGCCGCCGCCGCCGTGGTGTTGGTCTTGTGCGAAGCGCGAGTACGGCTCGGCCTCGAGTGGCTGCCGGCGCTTCCGTGGACCGTGACCGCTGGCGTGACCGCTGGCGTCGGATCGTCCCAGAAACGGCGACGGCGTGCACCCCGCGGGCACCAGCGTCGGCGCCTCGCGGGACAGGGCAAAGGCGTAGAGGGCTTTCGCCTTGGCGGCGTTGCCCCAGGCGGCGAGCGACAGGAACCGCGTCACATCAATGGCGAGCGAGTGCGACGCGTCGGGGCGCTCCGGGTGGAAGAAGGCCTCGCGCTCGTAAAAGAACGTTGTTGTCGTCGTCTTCGTCGTCGTCGGTGGACCGTCGCCTCCCTCGCTCCCAAACACGTCGGGCGACGCCGTGACGTGGTACCGCGGACGGAGGGCGACCACGAGGTCCGCGAGGCCGTCGCTGGCCGGGATCACGCGCGATGGGTCCAGGCCAGAGCCCTCCGGGAACACCGTCTGGGCCGAGCCCTTGAGAATCCCGCGCGGCCAGATGGCCGTCAACAAAATGTCCGCGCCGTGGGCGCCCCGCAGCGACGTCTCGTCGGCGACCGAGTGGAACGGCAGACACGCATCCGTCGAGGGCCCCGCGCGCACGACGCCGTCGGCCGAGGCCGCGCCGTCGTTGTCGACCAGCAGCCCGCCCAGCGCCACAATCCGCAGGCCCTCGGCCGTCTTGGTGACGCTGCGCTTGCCGAGGTAGTGCAGGTTGGGGCAGATCTCGTTGCCCTCGCCGTCGTCGCTCTGGGCGGCCGCCTCCAGCCGGGACGCAATGCGCGCCGGGAACGGCCGCGTGCCGACGGTAAAGTAGGTCGTCACGGGCACCTCGATCTGGCCGGCCAAAAGTTGCGCGAGCTCGTCGTCGTCGTCGTCGTCGTTGCCGTCGCCGTCTTCGCCAAACAGATTGCCCGTGGCAATGCAGCAGGCAAACTGGTTCTTGGCGTGGAGGGCGCCGAGCTTCTTAAAGGCCGCGGCAAACTGGCCATTGACCGAGCCGAGGACGATCCTAAGACACGTTAGCAGACGGTGGGCAAGTGAACTGAAGGAGATGCGAGACTGATACAGAGAGGGAGCCGCGGGGCGGGCAATCCTCACGTCCGAGAAAGGCAGGCCAAAACAGGCAGCGCACGCCGGCGACGGGGAGGAGACCAATGTGATGGATACATGATGGGGAGGCAAAGGCGAGGTACTATGGTATGGGATGCCAGGTGTGGTGATGAAATGCGCCGCCACGAAATGAGATGTCAGGTGAAGCAAGTGAAGCGTGTGGACGATGAAGAAGAGAGAAGAGCTCAGAGACAGGAGTATGTTGAGAGAAAAGAGAGAAGCAAGACGAAGAGGCAAAGGGCATACACAAAAATGAGGTACAAGATAAATCAGATTGTCCTTACAGTTTCGACGACATTGCGTATATGTGAGAAGGAGCTTGTCAGTCGTGACACGGAAGCCCTGAGAATATAGGAATGAGTGACGCGGTGAGCCCCGGTGCAAGGGCGCTTGTGAGTCGTGTCCTCGTGAGCTGGCGTCGAGCATGAAACGGAGATTGTACAGTAACAATAAAGCATCAGATCACAGCCTGCATGATCAGTGCGTTCTGGCCAACACAGTTCCAATGTGAGGAGGCAAGAAAAACAAAAGAAGAAGCCAAACTCGAAAAGGGGCGTGGCGAGATGAAGTAAAATGGCGCCCGTATTATGGACGTGTCATAGTTTGTGCCACTGCAACCAACGAGTGAGTCGTCGAATCAATCAAATGGCTTGCTGAAGCCGGCGATGAAGAAGCATTTTCTGTTATACACGTCGAAGCTGTCCTGTCGCGTCTCAATTCCAGCTACCAGCACTTTTCTGCAAATCACTAGCGTCGATGATGATCACATAGTTAGTTACACGGTCACCTGAAGATCGCTTATATGCACCGTATGCATTTACGCGAACGTCATGTCTTGGCCAACCGAGCAGCCACCAGCCGACGGTGAGATACATTCCTCGAACAAGACAGCACTGCAACAAAGTCGATAATTTACAAGGTTTTCGTTTTGCTGTTTTACCGACCAGTACGCTTTTCACAATGGTCACGATACAGAGCGAGATGAAATGAAATGGTCGAATGCCGGCAGCCTGCGACTCATAAAAATGACAAAGGAACCAGACAACTGAGGAAAAGAAACAAGCAAAAAGAAAATCCAAAGAGGTATCATACGAGGCAGCTCTGTCAGTGAACAGCGAACAAAGGCCTCCCACAAGAAGAGGAAGAGAAAAAAAAGACTTTCGAACAAAGCAAGGTATCCGTACATACGCAAGAAACATATGTCCCTCCATCAACTTTTGTGCAACCAAATCACATCTTCGCCCAATTGTTTCTCTCTCTCTCCGGCCCGTACATTAACGTTCTTCCGCGACATTAAATCTTTTGTTTTCCTCCACGCCTTAGCCCAGTGCGTTATATCAACAAACTGGGGGCACGTGTATGGTATGCAACGTATGTACAATGCGAAAACGGAAAGCGATTGGCGAATAGCGATGCAAGGGCAATGCGTGGCAAAGAGAATAACAATACGAAAAGCAAACCAATGCGGCAGATGCCATGTGCCAACTGGACATCGCCAGCCTTCCTCTATTAGTGTCGACTGTATATCGTGGTCAACGGGTTGAAGGACGAGCAGCTGGCGACTGTCATGCAATGCGATGCAACGCAGCAATGCAGGGTGGACAGTAAAAGAGACAATGAAAAGGAGAAATAGGAAGACAAGGTGGTCGTCTGGCGTACGTCAAAATGCTGCAAAAAAAAAAAAAAATGTGTAGATATGCTTCCGGTAGCTTCGCGCGGTGCTGTCAGCGTCGCGTGATGGATGAATGCCCTTGCGCTTTTGGCTCTTTGTTGTGTGTGTGTGGTGGCTCGTCTCGTCGTAAACGATCGATGGGTAGGAATAAGATTAAGGCGTGTAAAAAGTGTCGCGTCGCAAAATAAACATGCAAGGCAAGAAGCATGGCAAGAAGCAAGGCAAGCAAGATCTGGCAAAAAAACTGGTAAAACGAAGCAAGAAGCAAGGCAAAAAGGCTGGACGCAGTGGTAAAGACAAAAAAATGAATGCCGATGAAGCCTCAATGCAAGAGTGTTTTCCGCAGAGAAAAACAATGCAATGAGGATGAAATAAAAGTATGCTGATAATACACAGGCCCAGAGCCAAACTCCATGGCAAGAAGCAAACGAGGTTCTCGAAAAAGATGATGGAAAAGACCAAGAGCCGTAATGATGCAGGCTTGACATGCCAGAGAAAGAAAAGAAAAAGGAAAGTAGTAGTAAAACTGTATCAAAAGGATCAAAAAGATCAAAAAGACACAAAAGTAAGGAAAGATCAGACATTATTGTACACCGCATGATCCATAACACAAAAAAAGAGTAAAAAATCATGGGGAATCATGGGACAAGAAAAGGGCAAAAACAAAAGGTGTTCATCAAAAAAGAACAAGAACAGACCCAACGAGATCAGTACGATGCCATGCGCCGGGCGTGGCCACGGTCGCTACCCAAAATCGGCGAGCCAAAGCCCAGGGCCATGGCAGGCACAGGCGACGAGTCCTGCGACAGCAGGCTCGACGCGTTCGCGCCGGTGGTGCGACCGGGCGAGGTGGGCGAGGCGATGTCGTGGACCTGGGAGGCTGGCAAGGGCATTTGGTTGCGCGCACCGAGCGCACTGCTACCACGGCCGCTGGCAGCAGCAGTCGGGCTCGCGTTCTGCTGGCCAAAGGCAAACGTCTGAGCACGGTGCAGCCCTTTCCGGTTCTGCTTCAGGCGGCCCATGCCGCGCTCGCAGGCAAATGCGTGCTCGGCGGCGTCCATCTCGACATAGGCCTGCGGGTAGCAGCGGCAGGGGTGCTCTCCAAAGAAGCCACTGTAGCCGCCGTCCAGGATGTAGAGCTCCGGGTACGAAAGGCGCGGGTAGTGCTCGGCATTTACCGCACGGTCCTCGGCGCGGATGTGGCGCGCCATGAGAGGTGCACGGTGGGCCGAGTACTCGCAGTGCAGCACGATGAGCGTCCGGCTGCCGCGCTCGAGCGGCGGCGGCGTGCCGTCTTTGGGGCTCGCGCGGAACAGGTGCGTCGCGAGCAGGTCCTTGTCGTTGTAGTTGATGGCTTCGTTGATGTGGCCACCCTCGTACTCGTACTCGAACCGGCAGTCGATGATGAGCTTCTCGTCAAAGGCGTCGTTAAACTGGCCGTCAAGGACACGCAGCAGAGTGGCGCGGTCGATGCGGGGGATGGAGTCGTTCTGGCCCTCGGGGAAGAAGTGGGGCAGGATCGGTGCCTGGGGTGCAGTGGCCGCCTCGTCGGTGTCCATGACAGAGGTCAGCAGCGAAGGCTGCAGGCCGGACGGTGCAGCGGCACCGACGCCCGCGCCCTCGTCAGACTTGGGCTTCATCATGTCTATAGGGTTCTCAAACATGCTCAGTGAGCGGCGGTACTGCCGACGCGGGCGAACAAAAGAGCTCGACTGGCGGCGGATGTGGCCGTTAATGGGCGAGCCGGTTCGCGAGCTCGAAGCAGAGCCGGCGCTGCTCATGGAGACAAACGAGGGCCGCGCGCGAATGGGCCCACCGACGCCAGACCCACTGCAGGGGTTGGCGTGAGCATGAATTTGGGCCGCGGCACACGGGCTATGCGAGGTCTGGGGCCGGCGGTCGGCAAGAGGCTGCGATGCAGCGGGCTGCGGCGGGGACTCCTGGAAGCATTCGGAGAGAGAGAGGGACGAGGAGGAGGAAGTGGTAGACGACGCAGATGGCACACGGTTCTCGCCAAAGCGGAAGAAAGGGAGCTGGTTGTCAGAGTGCATGCGGGTCGGTCCAGCAAAGGAGTAACCCTTGGCACGGGTGAGCGAGGCGCGCCGCGGCAGCTTCCTACGTCTACAATTTGTTAGTGAGTCAGGAATACCAAGTCATATTGCGGAGTCGGACGCCAACATACTCAAGAGCACTGGCCAGAGTTCTCGGCGGCTCGAACGCTCCTGGTGCAGAGGTCGCTCCCGGTGCAGAAGCTGCTACAGGTGGGGGTGCGGGTGCTGCAGCCGGCTGTGGCGGGCAGGGCGACTCGAGCATCATCTGGTCGTCCGCGGCGTTTGCTGGCCAAGGGGAGGCCGGTGACGACATGGAGGCCATCTGGAGTTCAGTCTCGGCAGCCACAAAGGCGGCCACGACCTTTTTCGGCACGGGCGTCATGTCCATCAGAGCCTCGGCGGGGAGCGGAGACGAAGAGGCGGGCATTGGCGGAGCAGCCTTGAGGGACTGGCAGTTGCTAGTGAAGAGGGCGCGGCGCGGCGTCGGGAAACGGGGGCTGGCGTCTTCGCCAATGGAAAAGTTCTGGCACAGATCCGCCGCCAGGGAGCCGGCGGGGGAGGAGCCGTGGACGGGGCCGAAGCTCTCCTGGTTCAATTGGTCGCGGATGCTAAACGCGCCGCCATTGCCGGAGCCATTGAGGCCACGGCCGCCACTCCGTGGCTTGCCAGGCGACAGACGGACTCGCAAGTTGGTGAAGAGGTCCCGCTTGCCAAAAGGAGCCGCTGGCCGGTGCATGGCGGCCAGCGGCGAGGAGGTCTCCATGGTGAGGGTAGAAGGAGACAAGAGGGAGGCGGAGGGGAAGGGGTGGTGAAGAGAGTTGATCAGGCCGTCGAGAGCCTGACCAACGTCGACTGCTGTATTAATGCAGGGTGAAAGAGCAAACGCCTTTGGGACAAGGCGAGAGAAGGCACGATACAGTCGTCAGTCGTCTTGTCGTCGTGTGCGTGTCCTCGTGGTCGATCCTGCGATCACGTATACGAGGGAGAAGAGAGGAGGAGGGTGACGGTGGGTGTTAGAGCGCCGATGTGCCGGTCGACATTGGAGTGGTGATGTGTCGTCGGAATGGTGGCGGTGGACGAGAGAGCGGATCGAAGACCATGGACAAGGACCGGTGACGAGGTCTGCAGCTGTCGTGGTCGGGAGAGACGAGGTCGAGCGTCGATGTCGTGATATCGAGTCAGTTGGCGAAGTGGTCGACGGCGAGATGTCGAGGTGTCGAGGTGTCGAGGTGGTCGATATGTCGAAATGGTCGAAACTGTCGAGGGACGGGACAACCAAGAACAAGATATGTGAGGAAGTAGAGAGTAGAAGAAGGTCAAGGGTCAAGGGGAAGCAAAATGGTGGAACAACTGGTTCGAGCTGTTGCACCGAGCAACGGAAGTCCAAAGGGAGGGACGAGGGGATGTGGGCAGCGTGTGATAGAAGAGACGTCAAGCAAGGGCGGAGGATGGGCCCGACGATGGGAGAAGAGAAGAGAGAGGCGAGAGGTGGAGTGGGGAGGAGGATGTGGGTGAGGTGAAGAACAAACGAAAAGAAGAAAAGAAAAAAGAGAAGCCAAACGACGAGACAGAAGAGAGTCAAGAGACGGGGCAGAGAGAGAAGGAACGACGCGGGATCTGCACGGTGTTCGGTGTAGAGCTGGATTTCAGAATGAAGGTCTGAATCTGCAGGTACGGTCTCGTTTCGGCAGGCGGGCGTATCGCTGCTTCCCTCTCTGGCGGGCGGCGGCGGCTAGGACATGCGGGCGATGGCAACGAAAGTACCTCTGCACCGTCGTAGCTTCCCGTTCGGGTCTCCAACGTCGAATGTCGCTGGGCTCTTTCCTTCGCAAGTCCTGTTCTCTGCAGCACCAGCGGCGAGGGCGAGCACAAAAGGAAAGGAAAGAGGGAAAAGAGGAGTAGGTTGTCAGGGGAGATCGTGCAAGTACGAACGGAGTCAGTGAGCGAGACTAAGGCCCCAAGAAACAGGATGCAACAGGATGCAGCGGCGGTTCGTCGCTGCAGGTCGCACCTGCATTCAGGCCTCAAGTTCAGTGGGGTTACAGGGCCCGACAAAGAAGCAACGAACGACAGCGACGACAAGACCATGGCAACAGCGATCCAGCCAGCGACGGGAAGAGCAACCCCCTGCAGCTGGCAGCGGATTGGCCGACCCCTCAACCCCTGGCAGTGTTCCTGACCACGGCGCACTACGGCGCGCTAGAGGCTAGCATTCAGCCTCTCAGCTCTCAGCGTCATGATTTGCTCCATCAGAGCATTGCGCTGTCCAAGTTTTCAGCACAGCCCGCCCGCTCCTCGGTCCTTGGCGCTGTGCATCCTTCTACAGAGTACTTCTGTATTACTCAGTAAGAGGTCATTTCATTGGGGCAGATGCAACAACGGCAACATGGTTGTCCTCCTCTGCTAGTGCCGTCGCCTGGGTCCCCGTAAGCGCTGTGGCGGAGGATCGGTAGGGCGGCGGCAGGGCGACCCCATAGCAACAGAGGTACGTATCTACGTACCTTGCTCCACTGTGTGGGCGCTATGAGGTGCTGTGGGATCCACTGACAAACCAGTCCGCTCTCCCTCCCAAGAAGGGATCAGCTTCTTGGTCGACACGACGCCTGGCATTGTCGCGGGCAGCACGCGATGTCGTGCTGGAAGCTTGTTGGCGTCAACTAAGCCGAATGCCAGGCAACGAAACGAAGATGAACGATGGGATGGCCGATCACACACGGAAATCACAGCAACGCTGAGCAGCGCAGACGAGGAGAAAGAACGAAAGAAAGAGGGAAAGGAAACCGATTGGCCCCGGCGAAAGTCTACAAAGCCCAAGATGAACGACCGCCCGATGCAGACCGTCGTATGCACATCAATCTTCGTACGGCCAGCTGAACGAGTGTATGGGCGGGTCCTCCACCGGTCTGCCGGTCGCAATCCCAACACAGCAACGCCAGCAGCTTCAAAACAGCGCCAACGAGCGGCGCTTGTCGTCATCTCTCGAGTCTCTCTCCATCTCCTCCAACTCCTTCTCCTCACGCGGCCCGCCTGTCCTTATCTTACAACATTTTCGTGTGGACGACAGGGCCAGATTGCAGAAATGCGCTCTAAACCATATGCGGTCTTGTCTTGTCTTTCTTTTTTTTTTTTTTTTTTTCTCTTTTTCTTCGTCGGCAGGCCAATTTCTGACAATTTCGTCTCATCCCTGGTGGCAATGTGGACTCGCTGAAAGTGGAGAGTCGGCTGGATTGAACTGGATTGGACTGGAGGACTGGACTCGAGTGAACTGCCAACCGGCAAAAGCAATGACAGACCTGGTCCGTGAGCCGTGAGTCGTGGAGTCGCGCGTCTGCGTCTGTGAGTGTCGCCGTCTCTCTACCCCAGTCGCCTTGTTTCGGAATCTGGATCCTAGGACGAGAGACAGGAGCTATACGAAGTTGGCCAGAATAGATTCGACCTACGATGTAGGATGTGAGAGGAGGTCGATTGGATCACGTATCAATTTCCAAATATTGCATGTCTATAGAGAGCGTGCACTTTGGGTGCTTTGGACCGGTGACCTTAAACGGCGGCTCACGTTGCCATTCCAGGCCAAGGAAAACACCAAGAGACAAGAAACACGCAAAGAGCCAAAAAGAGTTAAAGAGTCGTCCCCTTCATCTTACAAGGAATGGGCAGACTGGGCCGGGATTCGAGGAATGGAGACGGCGAGATAGAGACAAGGGATCGTGCCGTGTGCACAAGCTTGGCCACACTCTGTCTGTTGCAACCCAAGTGTCTGAGAGCAGGCGAGGGAGAGATTGAAGGAAGAGGTTTCTGTGGTAAAGAGAGAAAAAGGGAGCTTGGGCCAGGCGTGCCGCTCCGGGGCAGATAAAGACCGAGATGAAAGTCAGAGGAAGGACAGAAATGACAGCCTCCGTGAGAATGCGCAAAGACCCCAAGTACGTCTTGGCCAATGAGACACAAGGCGAGCGGGCGGATGGGCTCCAGAAATGGGGGGGCTTGCAATAAACGAAAGCGAGGGAGATGAATCGCCAACAGACCCCAGTTGGAGGAGACATGAATATTTGTTTGATGTCGTTGTCAAAAAGGACAAAGAGTGTGGATACGGCAATTGGTAGCTGGCGCAACTCCTGCTCTTTTGCCCCATGCCGTCTCTGTCTTTGTCGATGCAGAGCCGTTTGCACGATCCCATTTGCATTGTCGTGCCCTGTTCTGCCGCTCCTTGGTGCTGTCGTTGTCCATCATTACTTTTCACGTTTTGCGCCTTTTCCACGTTGTCTCCTTAGGACCTCATTTCCTGGGTGCTGATTGGCCCACTGGCGACGCGAAAGTAAATAGAGCTGCATTGGCGGGCGGACGCGCCGAGCGTGACTGTGTGGTGGCGGTGTAGTGGCGGCCTTGTATGTCATACGACGTATTACTACACCCATAGCGGGTGAACCACAGCGGGTGAACCACAGCGGGTGAACCACAGCGGCGAAACGTGGTTGCCAGGTGTTTTTGGACCCGCGTATTCCTCCGTCCAGTGTATTTGCTGTACTGTCGCAGTTCCCGTCCCTGTTGCTGTGCCGCGTTGGCCCATCTTATTAGCGCGTAAGGGAAGTAGCCAGTGATGTCAGCTTCTCTTCTCGCCAGATGAACACAAACGTCTACATTGGTCTACATTGGTCCACATTGGTCCATCTTCTCGCCTGCATCAGAGTTTTACGTTTTCAACTAGCCTTTTCCAGCTGCCCTCTTCGTCCTTCTCGTTTCCCAGTTTCCGCGAAGCCGCCTTCTCAGTCGGTCGTGGCGTCGCCCATTCCAAAAGAAACTCTTCCGTATAAGAAGAGAAAATAGAAAGAAAGACATAAACGATGGAAAAGTACTCCGTCTCCATAGATCGGCACGGCGGCAGTCTCGATGGACTCGATGGACACAAAGAAGCGGCGGACCGGGAAAAAAACGTACCGGTTTGTAATCTTCATAGAAAAACGACAAGAACACACGACAAGAACACACGACAAAGACCACGCCATTCCGGCGGCCAACGGCAAAAGCACGTCGAGTCAGGAATGGACGCCAAAGGCCTTGGTTTATTGTCTTGGCCGACCGACAGCACGCCTGCTACGCAGAGGCTTATTCAACGCGCTGAGCTCGCCAATCTCTCCGTGAAAACATGCAAACTCAAAATGAAGCTTCTTTCCTTTCATTTTTTTTTTCGCTGTTTTTGGTTCACGCACGCTCTCAGGTAACCTCCTGGTATGTGACCAAACGATCCCAGTGGAGACTCTCAAGTATCAATCTCAACCGGTCAAAGGCAAAGAACGGTTTAGGAAGCTGGGCTGAGAAGGAAACGAAGCCGTCTACAGCGTAAAGTACCTACATGTGTCTCCAGTCTCTTGCATCTCCGATGCACCATGTATTTTTTTTTTTTTTTTGTTTTTGGTTTGGTTTTTTCATTGTCTCAGCTCAACATATTTCGTACGCGTACAGGGGACATGGAGCTACCCTTGTCACCTCCCCTCTTTTCCCCTCTCCTCCTCTTGGTCGCCCTGGCGTCGCCCCGGCAGCTATGGAGAGCGGTGGGGACTCGTCTCGCGTTTCTTTCCGTTGTCGTCTCTGCTCGTCCTTGCCTTGTTCCTGTTTCGGTCCCTTTCCTTCTACTTCTTACAGCGAGCTATCCTCTTTTCAGTGCGCCGTAACTTCAACAGTCGTCATCCAGTTTACTCTGGCGGACAAGCCACAGCGCAGAAGTACCCTTGTGCCATTCGTCTCCGGGCGCATCCCTGTCATCAAGGACACGAAAACTCCAAACTCCTCGAGTCTTTTTACCTCGTTCTCGTTGACTTTCGGTTTCCGTATTGGGTCATATGTTTTCTCTTGTCCACAAGATGTCTCAATGATAACCAGCATCTGTACTCCGTACACGTAGACCTCTCGTCGAGGCATTTGCTTTCGTTGCTATTGTCCCCCCTTGAGAGAAGGCTGACATGGAACGGAGGAATGGCTTCCGTCCTGGAATGGCTGGTTTCGTGGCTTTGGTCGGCGCGGGACGAGCTGAGAAGACAAGACAAAAGTGACAGTCCGCGGCACATTCTTCCGCAGCGATAACCGGGGAAGAGTGTCTGGACAAAGCGCGCGACCAGCTTGCCCGATCAAGGAGGTGTTGCTGTCGGTCTGGTAGCCTGGCAGTCTCACGTGCATGCATGCATGCCGCTCTGTGTCTTGTCCCGTTTGTCCCGACGACGTGCAAGTTGTTTTGCCGCCCTGTTGTGCATTCCTGCGCCGGCGTGGTCTGCCTCCATATTGCATGCATAATCCTCTTTATCCATTGCGTAACTTTTCTAGCTGTCCCGTCTTTTCGTTTGACCCCAGCGTCGGGAACCTCTCAAGAGTGTCGGCCGTCACCGGTTCGCGAAATACATATGTATTTGTCTATAAAGTGCGAGTATTGCAAGGAACACCCGCAGAAAGAGAGCATGGGCCTCTCTCTCAAACCATCGGTCCAAGCAAGTTTCGGGAGGTGCGGCTCAAGAATAAAGTCCCTCGAACTACTCCGACGCCCGGGAAGCGAAGTTGTACGATACGAAACGCCTAAAAACAACGGCGGCGGGCTGTGCCATTGCCATGCCCGTGTGAGTACATCGCATGCAGGGCTCGTCAGTCGACAAGGGGGGCAACGTGACAGGATGCGAAGCATGTCATATGTTTTGAAATCAGAACTCGTGGACGGGCGGTGTCGCGGCGGGCATTACGTCGTTGACTCTTGGTGTGCACCCCTTGTCTCGCAAAGGACAGAGGACAAAACATTGCATCACACCACACCACTCTGGGCACAAGCTGCAAGGCGCAATGCGCATGCGCAGTGCGCAATGGACAACCCCGCCCGGGATGGCAGGCAACGGCAGCATCAAAGGATCTGGCCGCAACAATGAGGAGAAAGAAATCGTCTTTGTTGCGACCATCGCTCGCCTTCCCCTTGCCCCTTGTGTACCCGAAACAGTCGTCTCAAACAAAGCATATGATCCCGACCTTTGCTCTATTTAAATTGGTCGGCTGAGGGGGTTCGTCGTAAAGATGGAACAAAGGAGAGAGACATACTCTGCAGAGTAAGAAGAGAAACTACCGTGCGTTTGGACAACGTCGCCGGGTGCGTTGTTTTTGGCGCCCTCCGTTGCTCTCCGTTGCTCTCCGTTGCCCTCCTTTTTCATCGGCGTTCCGCGGAAAGGAGGGAACAGCGGCAAAGTGTAAGGGATAAATGAAATCTACCAAGCAAGTACTGTGTATTGGACTGGTGACGCAAAGGTGTGGTGGCAGCCGTTGGTCATCCGCTCCTTTTCTTGGATATTCCCGGTTTGTTTACTTTGGCGCCCTTTCTGCTCAGCCGCCATCACTAACCTGGACGCACTACCCCTCACCGCTCTTTCTTTTTCCCTCTCTCCGTCTCAGTGCTTGCCGATGCCATCGTCGAGTATGTGTTCTCATCGTGATCGCAGTGAGCGATCTTGGTGCGGCAAAGCAATCATGTCGTCTGAACAATGGCATAATGTTGTGAGGTTTCGTCGCGGGCGCCTAGAAAGTAAACAAATGACGTACGGGCCACATGTCGCGCACCGCGTTTTAGGGGAGCCATGTGCTAAAGCACAGGGGACACAGGGATAAGCAACAAACGCGTGGTCACGTTACCGTAGGACCGCTCACGTGAGCTTCACGTTCATCTTCACTCCAGAGCATCCAACCTCGCATGTCGAGATACTTCCACAAGTATGGCATGGAATCGGCGAATAAGACTGTGGAAGTGATATCTCAAGTTGTTAAAGACCCTATAGGAACTTCTACCGGTTCTGTATTTTTTCGTGAATTTCTGAGACGGGGTCGTGAATTTTAGCATGAATTATGTTCTCTATTTCACAATTGATTTACAGTCGTAAAATACTGCAAAGACATGTCTGACAACTCTGTCTTGGAAGCACGACACGTGCTCATGTGCCACTTCTTCAACTGCAACGCAATATGCAATACGACATTTATACGCAACAACCGTGACGGTTGCTCGGTGTACCGACACGCTCCTACCATTGCATCGTGTGTCTGCGTGACGTTGCACGACATCTTAAAGTGAGTGAAACCGTGGTCAGCCATTTGACACTCGTTTTGGTTGTACAGGTGACCGGCCAAAGTAAGATCTTGACAATGGTCTCATTGAACCTTCTGAATTGTCAAGATCGAATTCATTACAAAACACGCGTCTATCAATCCCCGATCGGACGGCTTCCTACCGTCGTGTATACACCACCAAAAGCCCATACTGTACACCAAAGTACGACGATCCCAGCCTCTATTGGTCCCGTCTTGAGGGCCGGCTGTATGCATCTAGATGTGGCGAAGAAACCAATCGCCATAGAAACGCGCTCGCCCGAGAATAGATCCTGTAGGAGCCGGACCATGCGAAGAAAATGGACATCCAACAGGAAAACAAAGTACTCTAAAAGAATAAAACGCCCCAAGACCTCAAGTCCTTCTATCCCAAACCCCCAAAAGCCATGATGAGAAACAAAGCACCAGAATAAAAGTAGCACAACGACAAGGACGGTTGTGATGAACGCAGCCCCTTACAAGAAGACAGTCTTGTAGTACGCCTCCAGGTCGGCACACTCGCGGCTTGTGAGAAACGTGTGCGTGCACACGGCGCCGCGCACCTCGTCCCACATGGCCCGCTCGACGTCGTAGCCGGCGTCCCGGTTGAAGCTGTCGTCGTCGCCGTCGGCCTGCCAGAGGCGCGAGAGGGCGCCCTGCTCGTTGCGCGCGTAGACGCCGCGCATGGACGCGGCGAGGTGGCGCAGGTCGATTTTGAAAATGTTGTGGTGGACAAACATCCAGCGGGCGCGCACCGCGTTGTTGTTGTTGTTGTTGTCGTTGTTGTTGTTGTTGTCGTTGTTGTTGTTGTTGTCGTTGTTGTTGTTGTTGTCGTTGTTGTTGTTGTTGTCGCCGTCGTCACCCTCGCCGTCGCCGTGCAGCCGGTAGTCGTCGCTCGGGTCCGCCTGGCGCATGGCGGCGCCCATATACGTCCCGTTGATCCAGCGCCCCAGGATGCCAATGTGCGTGTGCACGGCGTAAAACGGGTTGCCCATGACCATGGCGCCGTGCAGAAACGTCTCCTTGTCGCCCTGGCCCAGGGCGCCCTGCGACAGCAGCGGGTAGTAGTGGCTGGGGCCGTAAAAGTTGTAGTAGGCGGCCATGACCAGGCTCGTGCCGTGGCGCGCCTTGTCGTACAGCAGCACGCCCGACTCGGAGCTGCGGCGCTCCGCGAGCCGCGGCGGCCGCACGTCCAGGATGTCGTAGAGCACGGGCGCCGTCGAGGACAGCCAAAAATCGGGCCACGTCACCAGGCCGTGCGTGCGAAAGGGGGCCGCGTCGAACAGGGCGTCCGGGTTGTGGATGGGCCAGCAGTCGGCGTCGAAAAAGAGGACCTCCTGGAAGGACGACAGGAGGATGGAAAATACCTTGAACTGGAACCGCGCGAGCGGCGGCATCCAGGGCGTCGTCTCCCAGAAGCGCTGCATCAGGTGGCACTCGGTGCCGAGCGCGGGGAGGACGGTCTCGCACAGATTGGCGTCGTAGTCGCTGTCGCTGTCCAGGAACAGCTGGACCGGCAGCTGGGACCCGTTGCGGCGCAGCATCAGGATGGACGTGACGGCGATGCCGACGTACTTGCCGCCCGCCGTCATGACGATGCCGCGGGTGGGGACGGCGCCGGGGCCGCTGGCAGCCGTCTTGCCCGGCGTTGCTTTTGTGGTGGCGGCTGTCGCCTCGGGCGTTGCCTTTGCTCTTGTCTTGGTCACAAAGCCCGTGGCTTTGCCTCTGCCTCCGACCCTCGCCTGCGCTCCTCCTGCGGCATCCATTTTCAGTCGCCTCCCCGCTTGCTTCTCCATGTCTGCCGCCGCCGCTTGCGCCTCTGCCTCGGAATTCTCGACACGCCGGCCATATGTCTTGCCCGCATACGGCAGCTGCTGGCCCAGGCTCCGCGCCGCTCGCACAAAATCCGCATGGGCCGCCTTCATGGCGTCCCGCAGGTCGTCCGGCAGGTGGACCTTGTCGACCCGCTCGCGGTACCTGTCAAGCTCGGGGTTCGGCTGGACGTCGTCGTCCGTCACAATGTCCTGGAGAACGACCTCCTTCATTGTTTTGGGGCCGGCGTCCATCATGGCCTGTAGGAGCTGCTTCCAGTAGCGCAGCATCTCCTTGGACGGAGGAACGCCGCCCTTGGGCGGTGGACGTTGCAGGCCGTAGCGGGAAGACAGGCCCGCCGCCCGCGTGCCCTCCAAAAAGCTGCTGCTGCTGCTGCTTCTGGTGACGTGGATGATGGGTGGCGACGGGACCAAGGCCGCGCGGGCGAGACCGGCGCCGACGTGGGCTATGATGACGACGAGGCCAAGGACAATCGAGAGAAGAAACGCAAGGTAGGCTCGTGGGCGGTGCCGCTGGAAGAGCAAGAGCATTTTGGCTCTCTTGGGTGGTGGGTATTTGTAGACAGGCATGGTGTGTTGATGAGTGCAAAGGCGATAAAAAGAGTGTTGGTACAATGGCGATGTCGAAGAGTCGAAGCGATCGTTTCATGAAATCGAGGGTCGCGAGGAGGTGAACCATAAATGAATGGGATAGAGCGGCTGGTAGGAGATATAAAAGCACAATGAGGACATGGGCATCAAAAAACGGCAAAAATAGTAAAAGGGATGGTGATGCCTCTCGGCCGTCTGCGCACACCAACGCGGCCGCCTTGCTTCGTGAGAGCCCCCACAGCCGTCCAACGGCCGTGGCCGTTCCCTCAGATATATTTAGTTCGCAGTGTTGCCCGTGCTGCACTTTTGCTGTACAAAACTGTACACAGAGTCGTGTTTCTTCTACATCACATCGTCGAGAGGGCGCTGCCTCGACCAGTTCGTCGCCGCTGCTGAGTGTCGTGTATCGAAGGAAGACGTTTGTTGGTAATGGTGTGAAGGCTGTAGGGTCCTCCTTTCTAGGCCAATATCTGGTCCAGCGAGTGTAGTTGACTCTGGTATCGTACTGTAGTCGGACGTAAGAAGTTGAAAGAAGGACAAGCCAGTGTGAGGTACTTTGGAGTAGGATGTTGAAAAGATGCGTTCGAGGCTACCGCCGTTGTCGATGTTCAAGGCGGGTGGGACAGGATGGACGAAAGCAGACGGTCTGGACCCATTCTTTCTTTTCTGTCACTCTATTTCTTTTTATTTTCCCCCTCAGATCCCGAGTACGGAGGGAGTATGGAGTAATGAGAATAGGGAATAGGGAATGGAGAATGGAGAATGGAGAATTTAGAATGGAGTCCTAGTTCTGTAATGTCTTTTATTACAGAGAACAGCTCTCTGCTTCAAGACATTGCTCCGAGTGTAGAAATTCTGCAAGGGACACTCGGCTCCGGTGTGTGGCATTATTATTCGACCGGAGAGACAGGAACAAATGTTTCATGCACTTGCCGTCATCACCAAAAAAAAAAAAAAAAAACAGTTCCTGGGCGGCGGTTGTGGTTGTTTTGTGTACTGCCCTAGACAGACCCATACCGTTTGTGAGGATCATCGCCCTCGTATTACGTGGACAAACACGGTGATGGGGGTGTGTTTCTAACAAACGAGATGAAAGAGTGCCGAGTGTACTGAGTGTACCAAGTGTAAGACATTGATTTTGTGGCTTTCTGTCAAGTCCAGGGAGGTTGTATGAATTAAGAGATGAGGAACAAAGGACATTCACAAAGAGGCGACGTTGAAGCTTTCCGTCCCGTTTACGAAGGACGATGTACGACGGCATGTCACATTGACGATGGAGAAAAGCTTGGGCGGATGTACCTTTTGTAAGTGGCCTGCATTGCTCGGGTGCCGTCAACTTTCCGCTTTCACTTTCACGCCTTCTCAATCGAGGATAGGCTTACGATTAAGCTTCTCCATACGTCGTACTCGCGGCCATATTTTCTTTTCTTGCCCAACTTGAGAGACATATCCCTTGTTCCATTGTGTTATAAAACGCCATCTTAACCGTCCAAAACGACACACAGAGTATACCGAATACGTATCTGCTCGCTCGATCCTCACTCATCGACGAAGGCGACGTTCTTTCAAGAAGCTTGGGTGAATGATGCGACTGATGCCGAACAAAAAAACTGGTTGCTAGCGCCTAGGCGGAAAAGGGGGCGGCGATTCGGGCTTGCAAGGCTACTGAATGTGGGAACTCGGCTCCAGTTTTCTGATCTTTCGGTCGGTCTGAAGAAGGCGAATCGGTTTTGATCAAGTACGATGTACCCATATGCATGTGCTTGGAGAAGCCTGGTCTGACTCGCTGGTTCTCCAGGCTCTCCAGGCTCGCCGGACGATGAAAGAGATTAATTATCACGTGTAAAGAACCCTTGCGTTGCCAAACTCCTCAACTCTCAACTCCTCATTCTACTTCGTTTTCGCGGCCGCAGCTCTAAATAGGAGCCGTTGCAACAGACAAAAAGGGGGAGAGAGGCGACAAAGGGAGAAACTGCTCTGAAAACGAAAATTATCAAAAATCCGTGTTTTTTTTTTTCTTTTTTTTCTTTTTTTCTTTTTTTTTTTTTTTTTTTTTTGATAATGATGGGCAGGCAGGGCGGCGTAATAAATAGAGTGAAGGGAGAAGAAGAAAAGGAGGCGGAGGCAAGGAACGAGTCTTACGGAAACTACGAAACTGCCACTAGGCAATCCAGGAACGGTTGCAACAAGCGAGCGACTAAAGAAGTCTGGAGGCAACCATTAACGCTCTGTGTATAAAAACGGCCGCCGGCGAGTCTCTACATATTTTTGTTTTGCAGCCAATCAGCCAATGTAGCGATATGACAACGCGTTTCTCATGAGCTTCAAAGACGGATAAAACAACCCAAACGACGGCATATCTGTCGTTCCGTTGGGTGTCGAGGGCGAGATTATAAGTTGTACGTGCGACTGTAGCACGCAATGCCTTGCCACGATCGTTTGAAGCCTGGATCGTTTGCGCTTCTCGAAACGGTAAAGCAATACGATGTAAAAGGGCCCAGCCCAGCCTTACCACGATCTACAGTGTACGACATACTCTCAGGAGCCGTCATCTGACCAGGCCCAAGCGTGACGGGAGGAAGGAGATCAGAGGATCGTCGTCTATCAAGAGAAGAGGTCTGCTGCACCTGGCAAGGCGGAGTCCCTCTGGAAAACAAAGACAGCAGCGACAACGCGACACGAGTTAAGGAATGCACGACATCCAGAACTTCTGGCATTGTGAGCACGACCGCAAACAATTCCATCCAACTTCTGAGCCATGGCCCTTCGCCACCAAAAACGACCTTGAAGACTAGCATCAACTCTGCATTATTATAGGAATAGACCGCTACCACTAAGCCAACTGGCAAAATAGAAGGCTCTAACGTTAAGGCTAGATAACAGGTCTGCAGTACCGTGGTCTTCCCACATCTACGAATCGTACTTCTAGCCATACGACTTCAGTGTGCCTACACGTGCCGAATCAGGTGACACAAATGATTAGTCAGAATGGTGAGACGAAATGGGGCCAATTTGGGGGCTGGCCAGTTGCGCTAAAACCAGCCAACGAGACAGCTTCTCCAGTGGATCCGCCTTGCGGCGTCGCGCTGCGGACCTTGTGGCAGCTCCTAGTGAAGTTGCGTCGGCCGTTAATCGTGGCTGAGAGATTGGGCGCAACGGACAAAACGGACAAAAAAAGAACAGGCTGACGTGTGTTTTCCGGAGACAAGCTGATGAACGACGCCAACAAGGACCTCGAAGCTGCAAACACAGAATCGAACAAGAGTTGGAAACGAACCTCAGACGAGAACCAGACGAGGCAAAAGACACCGAAAGAACATCTCGACAACCTCGCCAATCCTCCCCTTCGACTGCCTCCAGTGCCTCCTCCGCACGCGCACCATGGCCAGCACGATTCTCGACCTCGTCTACTCCATGGGCAGCTGCCTGTCGTGCTTCCCGAGCACGCCCACCCTCAAGATCAACGGCCGCAGCTTCAAGATCCTGCGGCTGCTCGGCGAGGGCGGCTTCTCCTACGTCTACCTGGTCCAGGACACTGCGACCGCCGAGCTGTTTGCCCTCAAGAAGATCCGGTGCCCCTTTGGCGCCGAGTCCGTCGCCCAGGCCATGCGCGAGGTCGAGGCGTACCGGCTGTTTGCGCGGTCCGAAGGCATCATCCACTCGGTCGACTATAGCGTGGCCACCGAACGGGGCGGCGGCGGCGGCGGCGGCAACATTGGCGACAGCGGCGGCGGGCCGGCCAAGACGGTGTACATTGTGCTGCCGTACTACCGGCGGGGCAACCTGCAGGACCTGATCAATGCGAACCTGGTAAACCACACGCACTTCCCGGAGAAGCAGCTGATGCAGCTGTTCCTGGGCATCTGCCGCGCGCTGCGGGAGATGCACGTGTACCGGGGCAGTCCCGCGGCGGCCGCGGGCGGCGGCAGCACCAGTGACGAGCACATGGACGTGCCGCAGCGGGGGGGCCCCGCGCAGCAGCCGGCACGTCTGCGTCTGGCCCTGGCTCTGGCTCGGGCTCTGGCGGTGCAGGTGCAGGTGGCTCCCGCGCGGCCGGTGCCGACGACGAGTTCGAGGCCGAGCAGCAGCGTCCGCTCATGGGCGACGAGGAGCCGCGTGTCGGCGGCGGCGGCGGCTCCGGCCGCAGCTACGCCCATCGTGACATCAAGCCAGGTACGTCACGGCCCATGTTCATTGTTCATTTTCGTGTACTTCCCCCGCCCACTGACCGCACCGTCCAGGCAACATTATGATCGCCGACGACGGCACCACCCCCATCCTCATGGACCTCGGCTCCATTGCCGACAGCCCGCTGGCCATCACCTCCCGCAGCCTCGCCATCGCCACCCAGGACGTCGCCGCCGAGCACAGCACCATGCCCTACCGCGCCCCCGAGCTCTTTGACGTCAAGACCGGCGGCGTCGTCGACACCAAGGTCGACATTTGGTCCATGGGCGCCACCCTGTTTGCGTGTCTCGTGGGCAAGTCGCCGTTTGAGATGCGGTCCGACGAGACCGGCGGCTCCCTGGCGATTTGCGTCCTGAGCGGCGACTGGCGGTTCCCCGACGAAGGACCCGGTCGCAAGCCAAAGGCGCCCTCAGGGCCGCCCAAGCGGACGGGGACGGGGATGAGTGCCAGTGGGGCGGCCGGTGGCGGCGCTGCTGCTGGTGCTGCTGCGTCCGTGCCGGCCGACGAGACGACCATCAGCGAACCGGTCCGCGAAGTTGTCCGCCGGTGCCTGAGCGTCGAGCCGGCCGAGCGGCCCGACATTGACGAGCTGATCCAGCTGGTGGAGGACACGCTGGAGCAGTTGGAGTAGACGGCGTGCAGCGACAACGACGACGAGGATGACGACGGTAGCTGGACGAAATGGAGAACAACAACGACATGTACGATATGGTGATTGTACATTGGATTTGCCCTTGTGTTTGCCAGGATCTTCACTTTCCACCCAGATTTCTCAAACTTCAGACGACACATATTGTCAATCTTTTTGCTATGAGCGAGTTTTAATCAGCATCTTTTGTTTCCTTCTGCTCTTCGTTCCGTTTTAGATTTCTTTGCCCTCTTCTTTCGCAATGTTGTTATCGTATGGTATCGTACGCCCGTGAAAAGGCCAATTCCAATTGAAAGGTCGAGAAGCAACCCAAATATATATAACAAGTCGCAAAATTGCAATGCTACGGACAAAGAAAGTAAAACCTCAGCACAGTAAAGCAAAACAAAACAAGCAAACAAAAACAAAAAGACGTGTCTCAGTCTGCTTCCCAACCCGTACCGTTCCCATTCTGTCGTTCCAATCGTCGTTTGCCGTTCTTCGTTCTGTTCGCCCATCGCCCGGCGTTCTTACGCCCGGCGTTCTTACGCCCGGCGTTCTTACGCCCGGCGTTCTTACGCCAGCTGCACCCGGAAGGTGGCCACCTCAAACGGCCGCAGCTCAATGTCGAAAGTGGCCGTCTCGTCGGCGTTCTCGTCAAGGGCAGTGCGGAGCGCAACCGTCTCCTGGTCGTCCTCGAGCAGGTTGGTCTTGTACACGGCCTTTACGGGCCACGCCGCCTTGCTGACCACCACGGACCCGCGCGACTGGCCGCCCAGGCTCTCGTAGATGCGCAGCACCACGCTGCGGCTCTTGCGTGGCGTCGGCAGGTGCGGGCCGTCGGCGTCCTTGGCCGTCTGCGACCGCACGTCCGCGTCGTCCTCGGCACGCTTGACCGTGTCCAGCACCAGCGACGCGTCGCCCACGAGCCGCAGCGGGTTGGTCTTGGTCTTGGCGGCCGTCGGTCCGGCGGGGCCCAGGCCCAGCTGCTTGGGCGCGCGGACCACCGACTGGAGCGGGTTGTTGAACTCGTAGCCCTTGCGGATCGTCGCCGCGCCCAGCGCGCCCTTGTGCGGCATGATGGCCCAGCGGATCTGGTGGCGGCCCATGTCGGCGTGGGCGTCGGGCGCCTTGGGTGACCGCAGCAGCGACAGGCGCATGAGGTTGCCCACCGTCGCGAAGCCGTACTTGCTCTCGTTGAGGATCGAGACACCGTAGCCGTTCTCGGACAGGTCGGCAAACTTGTGGCAGCACACCTCGAACTTGGCCATGTCCCAGCTCGTGTTGTAGTGCGTCGGACGGCGCACCAGGCCGAACTGCGTCTCGTACGTGGCCTCGGTGTTGCGCACCGTCACGGGGAACTCGACCTTGAGGAACTGCATCGTCTCGTGCCAGTCCACGTCGCTCGTCACCTCGACCGTCGACGGCTGGCCGGGCAGGGCGGCCGCCAGGCTGATGGTCGTGCGGATGCTGCTCTTGTCGCTGATGCGCGTCTCGGTGACGATGCTGACGCGGTGCGCCTTCTCCTCGCCAATGTACACAGCCGTCGTCTCCAGCTCCTTGCGCGTGTCCAGGTGGTACACCTCGACGTCCCAGGCCTGCCAGTACAGCGGCTTGTCGTCGAAGATGACAAACTGGTTGGCCTTCTCGCCGGGAGAGACGACCTCGCGCTCGTTGAGGTAATCGTACAGCGACGTGATGACGCCGTTCTGGATGGTGACGCGCAGGTCGGCGTTCTGCATCACGAACACGCCCTTGGACACCTCGCTGACCGTGACGGGCGCCTTGTTCGGCGCAGCGTACGAAGAGAGGGGGCGGAGCGGGATCAGCGAGCCGGCGCCGTCGGCGACGGCACACTCGTTCTCCGAGATGGCGACCAGCTCCTTGCGCGGCCAGGGCAGCGTGTTGACGGCCGCCAAGGTTGAATCATCCACCTGCGCCTGGGCCGCGCCAAACGCGACGGGGGCGAAGCCCAGCACGTCGTAGATGTCCTTGAGGACACGGTCGGCGGTGTCAAAGAGCTTGGCGTAGAGCTCGTCCGAGTCGTCGTAGCACATCTCGATGGAGCTGCCGGGAAGACAGTCGTGGAACTGGCAGAGCAGCGTGGCCTCCCACATGTCGTCGATGTCGGCCTTGGGATACTTGTACTCGGAGCCGGGCTGGAGCGAGGCCAGGGTGGCCAGGTACTCAATGTCGCGCAGGATGAACTCGGCGCGGCGGTTGTTGCGCTTGTTGTTCGCCTGCGTGGTGTACGTGCCGCGGTGCAGCTCAAAGTACAGCTCGCCGTACCAGGTGACGAGCTTGTCGGCCTTGGCCTCGAGGTGGTCAAAAAAGTCGTCGACGGACTTGCCCAGGTGGACGCGGGGCAGCAGGCCCACGGTGTCGGCCATGCCGCGGCAGCGGCGCAGCTTCTCGACGTGCTGCCACGTGGGGCCGCCGCCGCCGTCGCCCTTGCCAAAGACGAGCAGCGACGTGTGGTCCTGGTCCATGGACTTGTGCTGGGAGACGCTGCGGCGGACGTCACCAAAGTGGGCCTCGGCGGTGTACGTCTCGGACGGCGGCATGTGGCACAGAACCTGACTGCCGTCCAGGGCGATCCAGTTGAAGGTGGTGTGCGGGAACTTGTTGATGTTGTTCCAGCTCAGCTTCTGGGTCAGGAAGCGCGTCATGCCGGACAGGCGGCACAGCTGGGGCAGCTGGCTGGAGTAGCCAAAGGTGTCGGGCAGCCAGAAGGTCTGGCAGCGCGCGCCAAAGTGGCCCTCGAAGAAGCGCTGGCCGTAGACAAACTGGCGCACGAGGGCCTCGCCGCTGGGCATGTTGGTGTCGTGCTCGACCCAGCTGCCGCCGATGGGGTGGAACTGGCCGCTCGTGACCTTGGCGCGGACGCGCTCAAAGACGGAGGGGTAGAACTGCTTGAGCCACTTGTACTGCTGGGCCTGCGAGCAGGCAAAGTTGAGCTCCGGGAACTCGTCCATCAGGTTGCACTGGTTGGTCCACGAGCGGGCGACCTTGCGCTTGGTCTCGGCCCAGGGCCACAGCCAGCAGGTGTCGATGTGGCAGTGGCCGATGCCGAAGACGATGGGCTCCTTGCCGGGCTTGGTGGTGAAGACGGAGGGGTCGTCGACCTTGGCGCCAATGTACTCCTCGGCGATCTTGCGGGCACGCAGGATGGACTCCTGGCTGCCGCGCTCAAAGGTGTCGATTATGCGGGTGGCCACGTCGAGGGCCTTGTGCTGCTCCCACGAGTCCTCGGGGAACTCGCGGGCGGCGTCGCCGATGATCCAGACGTCGATCCAGAGCTGGCGCGCGGGGTAGTTGACGGCGACAATGTCGGCCTTGGTCAGCTGGAAGAAGCGGTTCGGGTCGGGAGGCTGGATGCTGTCGCCGTTGCTGCCGTTGCCGAACATGCCGTTGCAGGCCATCTCGACGTAGACAATGTGGGGCTTGCCGTCGCGGAAGCTCGCCGGCAGCTTCCACTCGATGCGCTCTCCGCCGCCGGTCAGGCCCTGCAGCGGCTCGCCGTTCTCGGACCAGATGAGGCCTTCGTTGTTGCCGTCCCAGTGGAACTCGAGGAGCTCCTTCTTCTGCAGCTCCTTGGGCACGGTGATCTCGACGCGGAACCAGTGGGTGGACCACGAGGGGCCAAACGAGTCGCCCACCGACGCCTCCTCGAACTTCTGCTTGACGGCCTCGGCGAAGGTGGGGCGGTCGAGGCCCGGAACGGACCACTTTGAGAGCTTGACGTGTGGCTTGCCGGCGGCGACGCCGTCATCCATCATGCTGGGGCATGTTAACCTTGCTGCATCTCACAATCCGTGTCTCTGTGTCTTTGCAGCCGCAAAGGGGTGGTACATACGATAGCAGGTTGACCTTGTCCCATTGTCCCTGGGAGTAGAACTGGCCGATGCGTTCGCGGTAGATCTTGGAGATCTTCTGGCCAACGGGCCGGTGGGCCAGCTGCGGGTAGCTGTGGTGGCCGCACACGTGCGGAGCTCGTTCGCCGCCGCCCATGATGTATTGTGTGCAGGGCTGTGTCTCTGTGTATCTGTGTGTTGGGTGTGTCTAGGGAAGGATGCGTCGAGGATGCAAACGAACGAAGGGCCAGAGCAAGGTTCGAGATCGAAGCGTACGGTGAGGCTCTGGCGACAAAACCGGGTCTTGTGAGCTCGGTCAGCGGGTCCGGCTAAATGCGGGCTTCGACAAGCTCGGAGAACGAACGAGAGTGATGTACGTGAGACGCGCACACGAGTCGGTGGAGAGAGAGATACGAGAGGACGGCGAGGTGAATTGCAGAGAAAGAAAATAACAAAGCGATGCAAAGAGAGAAAGGGGAGGAATGCCGGGTCGGGGAAGGGGCTTGTTTAAATCTCAAAAGAGGAAGGAGGAATTGAGCAAGAAAGTTGTCAGGGCGGCAAGGAAGGTCACTAAGAAACGCCGATACGGCCTCGCGTTCGCACCTGCCACCTTACGCCGCGTGAGCTCACACAGCACTAGCCAAGCTACGGCGGTAAGGCAAGAGCACGAAGTAGGATTACCCCGTATTTTCCTGCAACAAAGGGCCGCAGCTTCCCTCTTTGAAACAGGACACCGCTCTCCCCTACGTAATTGCGTGGGCCACCCCCTCCTCTCTCTTGTACTGCCGCATACGGCCTAGCGTAGGGCCTCTGGCCCCGCCCCCGACACCGTGGGATGTGGTCGCTACTTCGTAGGCGCATAGGCGGGGGAACTGATGCTGTGATGGAACGACTCGGCAGCTCTCCGCCCGACGTTCCTCACGTCTGTGTCTCAAACGGACTTGCGTGGCCGGGGCAAATTACAACGTTTCCTGCAGTGAAGTGGTACGACCAAAAGCCCCGACGGAAAATCCGACAAGGCAAGGAAAAAACGTCGGCGCTGGACTCGAGGCGTGAGAATAAAGTAGAACGTATCGTGGTTGAAAAGTAGTAAGGATTAGGAGACGGAGCGATATTCATGCCTCTTGACGGATGGTCGATCCTTTATCACGATGGCTGCGGATGCTGACTGCCGCTGTGGTCGTCCATCTCGCCAAGTGGAAGACGATGCAGTTGTGAGATACCGAAATTGAAGGGATAGAGAAGGATGAGGGCATTCGGTCGGCTGGTAAACTACTAGTTGCTGACATGGACGGCTACCAGGGGCTGCGTCGTTCGTTGTCACGTTCGGCCATTATCGTATTCTGGGTGTGAACTGTGCTCGGTTGGATAACGTTGAGTTGGTGATAGAGTGGCAAGTACGGCAAAACTGACACGGAAATCGAATAAACAGCAGTGATTGAGTAAACATACGATCAAAGCACAAGAATCCTCGGCTTGTCAGAACATAGAAATTGATTCCATGAACCTGAAAAGGACAAATGAAATAAATGCAGTAGACATGTATCATAGACGGTCGTGCTAAAATACAAAGAACAAGAAACCCCTAAAACGAAGGTGGCATATACTGAGACGTTGCTTCAAATGATTCGTGAATGGAGCGGAGAAAGGATGAAAAAGGAGAGTAGTCACAGCGAAGGGGAAAGCCAAACGAAAGCAACAGCGGGCCATCCATTAAACGCCCTCTGTACTCGTATACCTCTTCTCCTCCTACAAAAACGAGCTCGTCTCCCGACGACGGCCGCTGCTGCCACCGCCTGCGCCCGTGCCGTTGTGCCTCAGCTCCGACACCTGCGGGTCCGCGCCGTCCTGGCCGTCGTCGCAGTCGTCCTCCTCTTCAAACTCGTCGTCGTCGTCAAAGTCGTAGTCGTCGTCGTCGTCGTCCATGTCATTCTTGACGTCGTTTTCATCGGAATGACCGCGCTTGCTGGCAGGCTGCGGGACAGCACCGGCACCGAGGCCGGCCCGCGCAGCCGTCGCTGGGGCCGTGGCGTCCTTGATCATCGCCTCCACGCCGACCGCCACGGCCTCGATGGGCGCCCCGCGCTCCTCGTAGTCAACCATGCTATCGTCCTCGACGCTGTGTGCGCCCAGGCCGACAGGCTTGCTGTCGTCGTATAGGTCGTCGTCCCCCTCGGCCTCTTCGTCATCGCCGCTCTCGCTCTCGCTCTCGCTCTCGCTCTCACTCTCGCTGGCGTCAAACGACAGGGCGCCCATCATGGGCACGTTGATGCGCGCCAGCTGGCTCTTGATCAGGTTGTCGGCCACATTGTACAACCGCGTGTCGTTGTCTGACGGCGTGTCGCGGTCAATGTCAAAGGCGACCTCGTCCGGGTCGGCCGGGCGGTCGCGTGCGCCGGGCGTGTTGGGCGATACAGCGTCGTCCAACTCTGGCACCTGGAGCACCCACTTGCGGACGGCCTCGCCCTTGGTCACAGGGCGTCCGGTGCGAACAGCAGCACTCGAGCGGCGTGCTCTACGGCCGCCACCCTCTACGACTCTGACTTTGTTGTCCTCGCCTGCTGCCTTGACTGCCAGGCCCCGACGGAACTGCCGCTTTTTCCGCCGCCGCCGCCGCTGGATGCGGTCGCGGATGTACCAGGCGACCACCAGCATGGCTGCCTGCGTCATCTCTTGGCTCTTTTGGCGCTGCATGCTGGCCCACGCCAGGTACCGCTGCTGCTGGAGGTTGGCGACGGCCTGGCACCGTTGGTGGTAGTAGGCGGCGATACGGGATGCGATGGCCAGGTAGCGCGGGTCGGACGGCGACAGGGTCCCACCCTCGGACGACGTCGCTGCTACTGCTTCTGCTGTTGGTCTTGTGGAAGCCGTCCCTGTCGTCTTGGCTCCCGGCGTGGCCCGACGACGTGCTGCCGTTGTCGATGGAGAGGCAGTTGTTGTCTTTACCGTTGAAGATGGTGCCGTTGTTTGTTCCACCTTGATACTCCCTTGCTGACCGCTCTGTTGCTGCTGTACTAGTGACGGTAGTGGTGGGACCGGTGGTGGAAATGCGTGCTTTGGTCCTCCATTCATACCGGCGTTCACGGTACCCGGCATCGGCCGCTGGCTCGCCGTTATCCCGCTTTGAGGGCCTACGCCCTTGAGGCTGCCGGCAAGGCCGCCGGGTCCACCGCTGAGACTGTTGCCGAGAAGGCCGTTGCCATGTCCGTACGTTTCCCGCGTAAAAGATTTGAGCAGAGTTGGTGAGAGTGGTGTCGGTCCCCCGGGGAGTGAAAATGACTGGTAATCAGGAGGTGGAGTCAGAGGGATCTGAGGACCGAAAGGAAAGGGCAGCGACGGCATGGACGCAGCCATGGTATTGAATTCAAATGAGGTCGCCGTATACCAATGGACGTTTTTTTGTGTCTCGTGTAAGAGCAGTCGTCACCCTTTCTATAGGTTTGTGAGATATAGAGACCTCACAGTCGCTTGGATGATTGTCAGGTGTTTACTGTGGCCTCCTGGCTGGTGTAAATATCAATTTTGTTTTGTGGTCCGGTTATGGCCTGTGTTAGTTTTGCACTTTATATCGTACTGTTTAGAACAGCTTCATCAATATTTGGACCGCCCAGTATGACGAGACCACGGGACGAGTTGCTGCGGTGTTGCTAGTTTTGGTAAAGATAAACAGAGATGGTAATGCAGCGTGAATATGTCCAAGAGAGAAGGATATGAGTATCGAGAATGGTGTGCGAGCGAGTATCAGGAAACGGAAAATGGGAAGCAGGATAGTTAGAGAATTAGTATGGGGAGTAGACGAGGGGGGAGGGGGAGAGACATGGACAGGGTGTGTGACAAGTATGAAGGCTGGACAGAAACGGTCTTATAATGTGTGTGCCTGTGTGTTCCGTGTGTTCCGTATGTTCCGTGTGTTTCGGGGGGTGTGCTTCTGTGCATGTGCCTGTGCCTGTGCCTGTGCCTGTGCCTGTGCCTGTGCCCGTGCCTGTGTGTGTGCGTCTCCTCCTTCGCTGTGGTCATCAGCAGCTTGTGGTTATGCGGTGACATCAGCACCGGGCATCTAGGATATTGGATGGCTTCATGATGGTCAGGTGCGGCAATACCCTGGAAACTCGAGCTGGTTGTGAAGACGGGCAGATCAGCATAACGCACAGGAGAAGGAAAAGGAGACGACGACGGCGGAGGAGCAGGTCGACACTCCGGGAAAGCTGTCATCGGTTGTGGTGTGAAGAACTGCCTGTTTATACTCGATCCACTTTTGTGAGGTCACCTCCCAACAGTATCAAGGCCAGAGAGTGCCTCTGGGAGCATCATGTTGAGCTGAAAACATCTGTCGATTGGTAGTGCGAGGCCAAGTTGGCCAGAGGGGGCGCAGCGAATAACGGGAGGCGTGACAGACGACAAGACAAGCGGAATGGCCTGAGCCGCTGTTGGGTTAGCCCGCGGGCCTGAATCGGTCGATGCTGGAGCTAGACGGAAAGAGGCACTGGGGTTGGGACATGGGAGTGACTGACAAGAATGAAAGTACGATATGTGTCATATACCCTGTCATGTAAGGAGATTCATATACATACTGTACTCTCATGTGCATCAGCACACACGCCATGTGAAGGCCGCGTGCCCTTGCATTTGTCTGAATCTCAAAAACTTTTGACAATCCCATGCTCCCCTGCGGCCATGTCAGCCCTCTTTGGCATATGCACAGCGCCCTGCAGGGCACACGAGCTGCTCTAACGGGCATTTTGTCTTCCGGGACTCTGGCATTTCTTTGATTCGTCTTGTCACTTATCACATTGAAGAAACATTTCCGTAGACAGGGAGCAAAACAGCCTAGGAACGGGTGTGTCGGACTAATGAGCGGTTCGACGGGAGCTAGTCGGCGAAGAAATGGTGCCACTTTTGGCTCGTGTCATGCCAGTGTTTGGGGTCTATGGGCAGAGCGAGGGTTTCCAGCCTCATCCAGCCAAGTCTGACAAACACGAGCCTGACCCGCCCCAATTAGGACGTGGGAATGTGGGATGCTGGCTGGCGAGGAACGAGGGCAAAAGGCAGCGGATTTGCAAAACATGCTGACGTTGAAGATTCAGAAAACGGAAGACCCTTGCGTCAGTCGCGTGGGTTCTGAGGCCGTGTTAGTAGCCGTTTGATTAAATACCACATGGAAAACACGCCTTTCTGTGCTGACCTGACACACCTGCATTTAAAAAGCCACGCATTCCTGGTCTATTTCTCGATGGATTTGCTTTCTCGTCTGATTTTTGTCACTAGATTTGCACGTCCCCTTGACGTCGTCGTGGATAGGACAGCCTGTTGAGCCGCGCGGGCGGCGCATGTGCGGTGTTGTTACAGTCTGAAGTTTTGTGCGCGCGTGTTACGGAGCGTAAAGCCCGAGGACTACGCCCGAGGAGCACCGCGTGTGCTGCGGTTTGTGGTGCTGGGCACGAACATTCGTAAACTGTCGTGATGTCGACGTTGGTGAAGAATGTAGAAGCACGTGCCCGTTGTGGCCAACTCTTGCCAAAAAGGAAAGCAGTGTTCACACAAAACTCACGGACAAGGAAAGTGCAACCGTCCCCCGTACCAAGCCCCTGGCTATCACGCTCCGAGTCCGTCGCACCTGCCTTCTGATCCGCGCAACTGGAGAGCGGGTCGTTTTCTCTCCTCTCGGTCTTTTCGACCACCAGTGCATCTACGGATTCTTCAGATGTCGGGTAACGGACGCTCGTCATTTTCTGCCTTTGTGTTTACATCGAGTCTGTCCAAGTTGGCTTGCAGGGCGTTGTGAACAGGCCACTGTTTGGGAGTGGCGTGCTCTTTCCCCCGAAAATAGCAGTCGTTCTTGCCATCCGTGCTAGCGCCAAACATGCACGGTCTCCGGCACTGTAGAAGGCGCCAGGGGGAAGGCGCCAGGGGGCACACGCCAACTTCCAGCCTCGGCCGCGCCTCGTCGAAGCTGAACTGCCAAAATTACGGCAAACAAACGATGACGCGTTGAAAACGTAAACATCCGGCCATAATAGCACCCATTGTCCCGGCCACCACGAAGCACAACTCCAGACCGATCGTCTGTTGGCACCAGGACGTTTTGCTTGCCCCTTTAGCTAAATGGGCTGGTAGCTTTGGCTGTCCGGTTGGGCGCATCGCACTGCGACCTTGTTACATCTTGACATCGCGAGATCACGCTGTGGGTGCCACTGCCCTTGTCCATCACCGCGAGGGCGGTCGGGACAATATTTGATCCCCGGATCTGTTGCCACAACCGTCTGGGCTGCCCTGATTGAGGCGTTTTGTGGACCCGAGGTCGCGTGTTGACAGGTAGCGTCCCGGTCGTTGTTGACTTTGTCCACGCCTCTGCTAGTTTTGTCTTCTTTGATGTTCTCCTTGCTCCTTGGCATCCCTGCTTTATCTCCCCACCCACGGGTCCTCCTCCGCTCGCTCCCGACGTCCAGCCCTGCGCTGATCTCCTTTTGTGGCCCCCTCCACAGCTCATATCTGGATATATTCAGACTCGTCTGGGAGAGGCAAACAGCCCACATGAGATACACGAGGCATGCGGCTGTGCTCCATCTACCAGCGGCCATGGCAGCTCCAGCAACGTCATCACCAGCAACATCTGCGCCAGCTTTGTGCTCGGAGAGAGGCAGAATCGGCTAGCCTGTCTCTAAACCGTTCGCGCTGTATAGCAATAGGTTTCTCGACAGCAGCGGTTCCCGAGACCATGACGACAACGACACGATCATCATGCTTACAAAGACGACCTTTGGCTTGGCCAGCGGCTCGTTTTGCTGCGTCTGCTGTCTACCGAGGGTCCCTATCGTCCGATCCCAGGCCCGAATGCCAGACGAGAGGCAAGAAGACCAGGACCGTCGTGCGTTTCGAAGATCTGCCGCAGGGCATCGTTTTGCCCGCCGCACCAATTGGGGCGAACGAACGTGGCACCAGTGCTAGCAATGTTAGTAATTCGAATGCCGGCGAGGACAGCCAGTCCAGCGAGACCCCCAGTGCGGGCCCAGACACGGGTGGCCCTGCGTACCCAACGGTCATTCTGCAGGCCCGCCGCAACATGCACAAGTTTGCCAACTGCGTGCTGCTGACCCGCGTGGGCGGCTTCTACGAGCTGTACTTTGAGCATGCACAAGAATACGGGCCACTTCTGAACATCAAGGTGGCCTCCAAGAAGACAAACGCCGGCCCTGTGCCTATGGTATGTCTTTCTCCTCCCTCCTCTGACTTTCTCTTGCGTCTTGTCCCAACTCGTCACTCTTTTTGTGCCCTCTTACCCTCGCACCTTTGGCCATCTCGTATCATGCATCGTATCATCCTGCCCTATCTCACAACGCTCTGGACAACCCCGACAGCGGAGAGCCATCTCACGCAGACACTCCTTGTCCTGATGTACAGTCAACCGGCTGCGTTGGTATTGCATCCTCTGTCCGCGCGGCCTTGCTCCTGTTTTTATTTTGTCCCACACCACCCCTCCTTTTCTCGTCGTATTTCTCCATTTTGTCGTTCGGTTTTCCTGATATGATCGCCGCCGATAGTTGTCATATCCACTCTCCACGGCCCGCGCACACTGTCTTTGCCTTTTCCCTCTGCTACTGTTTTTTGTCATCGAGTGTTCCGTTATAACATTCGATGTTGATTCCGTGTCACGCCCACCATCGTTTGCGTCTTTGATTCTATTTTCGTTTCGTTGGCGGTCTCCTTGACATCTCGGCTCTAATCATATCCGTAGGCAGGCTTCCCCTTCTTTCAGCTGGACCGCTTCCTCAAGGTCCTCGTCCACGACCTCAACCGCTATGTAGCCATAGCCGAGGAGTTTCCCAACTCAGCCGCCGACAAGGTCAAGTCGGGCGGTCTGATGCATGACCGCCGTGTGGCGCGTATTGTCACGCCGGGCACACTCATCGATGAAAATTTTATGGACCCCTACACAAACAACTATGTGATGGCCATCCACGTCGATGCGGTGGATAGTGTCAGTGCCAGTATTGGTGCTGATGCTGGTGCAGGTGCTCCTGTCAATGTCCGTACTGGTACGAGTGCCCGCCCGTACGACGGTGATGCCACTTTGTCAGCCCCGTCTGCAGCCCAATCTCCACTCTCCCTCCTGTCACAGGGGACCCTGACGTCTGCGCCCCTCGCGTCTGCGTCGCCCAGTTTGTCGTCTGTGGCCCTTGGCTTGGCCTGGTTGGATCTCTCGACCGGCCACTTTTATACGCAACCTACGACCCTGGCTGCCCTGAGTGCGGCCCTGTCACGTGTAGCGCCCCGTGAGATTGTTTTGGACGAGAGGCTGCAGCTGCTGCGCCGTCACGGTCACAGCGACAGTGACAGTGGGAGTGGGAGTCCAGTCCACCCGCTATTTTCTATCATAGACGAAGACCGCACCCAGCAGCAGCAGCAGTTGATCACGTATGCCTCGGCACCACCAACAGCGGCCGATGAAACCGGCAGCGAAGCTAGCCATGACCGGTCTGCACTGCTGTCGGACTGGAAGCCGGTGCTGGAGTCGGAGATCCCGGCTCAGACCGCAAAGGACTTGACGGGCGATGAAATTTCTGCCGGCAGTTTGTTGCTGCACTATGTCAAAGACCGGTTGCAAGGCCTGTCCATGAAGCTGCAGCCGCCCGTGCGCTATGAGGGCATGCAGGTCATGACCATTGATAAGAACAGTATGCGCTCTCTCGAGATCAAGCAGACTGTGCGTGACGGCTTCTTCCGCGGCAGCCTGCTGCATGCCATTCGCCGGACGGTGACCAAGAGCGGCGCCCGTCTTCTCAACGAGTGGCTCAGTGCCCCCTCTACCTCTCTGGATGTCATCGTAGCACGGCAAAATCTGGTGTCGCGCTTCGTCCAGGACGAAGACCTCCGCGACGGCATCACGCAGCTGCTCCGCCGCAGCCACGACTCGCACCGCCTCGTCCAAAAGTTTGCCCTCGGCCGCGGCGACCCGGACGATCTCCTCGACCTGGCCAAGACCATTACGGCCACGGACGACATTGTCGGCCTGCTGCGGCACGCGCAGCCCATCCACAAGGACGCCGTCGATGAAGAGACGGAAGAGAGCCTCGAGGCCATTGCCGGGCGCATCCAGCTCGAGCGGCCGCTAGCGATTGCCAGACGCATCCGCGACTCGGTTGACGAAGAGGGCCTCATTCACCAGCATGAAATGGACGAGAACGAGGCTGACGCCATGATGTCGCTGGCTGAGGAGGTCGTCCAAGCGGAGGGCTCTCTGCAAGAAGACGGGTCCGTTTTGCGGCGCAAGGGCAAGGATGCGAAAGCAGCCGCCGCAGCAGCCGCAGCTTCCGAGGCAGCATTAAGCGGAACAAAAGCCACGGCCACGACGAGACGGAATAAGAACGCGTCCATCCGCGATTACTACGGCGAGGACAACGAGGCATGGGTGATGAAGCCGTCTGCTAGTAAGAGTTTAAAGATGCTCCATGCACAGCTCGCCGACCTCAAGCGCGACCGCGAAACCCTGACGGACGAGCTGCGCACACGTCTTGAGGCGCCCAGTCTGGTCCTCAAGTGGACACCCGGCTTGGGCCACATCTGTCACGTTCGCGGCCGCGACGCCAAACGTGGACGGCCCAAAAAGGAGGAAGACGGGCCCACGACCATCTCATCAAGCCGCACGACGCGGTCGTTGCATGTGCCCGAGTGGACGTCGCTGGGCCAGAAGCTCGACCAAGTACGCTTCCACATCCGTGCTGAAGAGCAGCGCGTCTTCCATGCGCTGCGCGCGGCCGTCGTACGGAGTCTCGTGCCCCTGCGCCGCAACGCCGCCGTCCTCGACGAGCTCGACATTGCCACCTCATTTGCGCGGCTCGCCCTCGAGCAGAACCTCTGCCGCCCGCGCCTGCACCGCGGCACATCCACGGCCATTGTCGGCGGCCGCCACGCCACCGTCGAGGGTGGCCTGACGGAGCAAGGTCGCACGTTTACACGAAACGATCTCATGCTGGGCGACGGGGCCGAAGGCGGCGCCTCGCGCATTTGGCTCATCACGGGGCCCAACATGGCCGGCAAGTCGACGTTCCTCCGGCAGAACGCCCTCATCACCATTCTCGCGCAGATCGGCTGCTACGTGCCGGCGGACTACGCCGACCTCGGCCTCGTGGATGCTCTCTTTAGTCGTGTCGGCTCGGCCGACAACCTCTTCCGCGACCAGAGCACATTCATGGTCGAGATGCTCGAGACCGCGCACATTCTGCGCCAGGCCACGCCGCGCAGCTTTGTCATCATGGACGAAATCGGCCGCGGCACGACGCCCGAGGACGGCACCGCCGTGGCCTATGCGGCGCTGCACCACCTGGTGCACGTCAACAAGTGCCGGGGCTTGTTCGCGACGCATTTCCACGGGCTGGCCGACCTGGCGGCCGCGGACGGCATCGCCGCTGCCGCCGCAGACGCCAACGCAGGCACGGCCATGCCACGCTCGTTCCCCGTCGAGCTGTACTGCACAGACGTGGAAGAGGACGGTGCTGGGGGGTTCGTCTACGTGCACCGGCTGCGCAAGGGCATCAACCGGCAGAGCCACGCGCTCAAGGTGGCACGTCTGGCGGGACTGCCAGACCAGGCGATCCAGATCGCACAGCGTGTGCTGGCCAAGAGCGCTGTGCCTGCACAGGGGACGCAGTGTGAATAAAGGAATGGGATCTACGGACAGGAAAGGCAAAACAATAGAGGTTCATGCATGGGCTACGGCATGCCTGATTTGAGTTGTGGTTTGGTTACGCATTTACATTTGTTGGATAGAAAAGTCGTGCACGCATTGAGTGTCCTGTTCTTTTCCAAATGTTAGTCATTTGATACCCTGGAAGTGTAGATATACATGGTATATCATTTGTTTCAAAAACAGAATATCCATCAACCAACAGCACCCGAGGAGTATGTTTAGTGTCTCATAAAAGTGATGGGTGTCTTCAGAAGTAAGACTTCAGGGTTAAAAAGCTCGTTGAATGATGTTTTGGTTCTAATCCTCGACAGAGCTCCCCGGTACGGCTGGCAGGATATGATAAAAGAGGGGAATAACATAAGGGAAACAAATGCGCTTACCATTTGGGTTGGGGAGAATAAAGTGCTTTTGCTGCTGCCGTCACATACACGCAAAACGTCACAGAAGAGAGCCATGGGAACAAAAGTTGGTTGAGGTTTCAATATTTTCGGATTTTTTATATTCGGGGATATAAAGTAGCTTTTTTGTTGATGGACAAAGGCCCAGCGCCGAGAGACACTGACCCTCGACAGTATCAGGATCCAGGAGCATGGTGTGGCATTTAGTCGCTGGACACAGGTTAGCAGTGGGTTCGAACAGATCAACCGGCACGACGTCACGAAACAGGGGGAGGACATACAAAAGACCGCCGAAACCGCCGTCGGAGTCGGACTCCTCGGCCTCCTCCTCCTTCTCCTCGGCAGCAGCCTCCGCCTTGGTCTCCTCGGCCGCGGCGACAGGGGCCGCAGCGGCGTAGGCCTCGGGGTTGGCGATGCGGTCCTTGAGCTGCTCAATCTCGGGCCACGAGATCTCGGTCTCGATGGCAATGGCCAGGACGTTCTTGTACGAGTTGACCAGCGAGTGCAGGACAGAGGGCAGGGTGGGGAAGTTGATGGCGAGCGAGACGCAGGCAATCGTGGTGATGGCCGACGAGAAGGCGCCGAGCAGCTGCTCCTCGCCAATGTCGAGGACATCGGGGGAGAAGGTGTTGCCCTGGTCGTAGACCTGGGAAATGCCCATGCCGTAGGTGAAGGGCGAGATGTTGAGCATGTTCAGCAGGGTGGCCTCGGAGGGGCCGACCTTGTTGCCGCTCTCGACGAGCTTGAGGTCCGTGGTGATCTCAATGGTACCACGGGCAATCTTGGTGGGGACACCGAGGGCCTGGAAGAAGGAAGTCTTGCCAGGCTCCATGCCGGTGTTGCCGGCGGGGACCCACACATCGACCGGGGCGATGGCGCCGGCACGGGCAGGGGCCGCGACCTTGTTGACGAGGATCTTGTCGCGGATGGCCTTGAGGTCGCCGTTGGTGAAGACGAAGCCGATGTTGCCCTTGACGAAGGGCAGCAGGCGCTCGTACTCGGGGGTGTCGTTGACAAAGGTCTTGAGGGCACGGCGCACCATGGTGTTCTTGCCCATCAGGACCACGCCCTCGCCGCGGAGCGACTGGCGGATCTCGTGCATCTGCTGCGAGCTGACATTGTCGACGCTGACGATGAGGATGGACTGGTACGTCTCGAGCAAGCCCTTGAGCTTGTCAAAGTAGCCAGCCTTGTTTGCCGATTTGCCCCCCATATCTTCTTTTGTTACGAAGGCAGGATGTTTAAGGGCAAATGAAATGTATTGTTCGTGGAAGGGGACGGGGGGTCGGTGGTGGTGGAAAGTGGTGATGATGAAGCTTTCCAAGATTTTTTTAGGACGCCAGCCGCGCCTTCTCGAGATGGTATTCCACCCCCAGCCTGCGCCTGCCCTGCAAAGCCCCAAGCTGTCGCGAAAAAAATTATCGGTCGGCGCTAGTAATATTTTTCCTGTGGGATTTCTATGTAGGGCTTGCTAGTTTCCATATAGGGTTAGTGCATTGTATTATGTCATCTTTCAACCCAGTCACATGTTAGTTCACGTGTGACCTTTAAATGTGGGTCCTCTCAGTCGCTTTGTGAGGCTCGCAATTTTCACGAAAGTCACTTATACACGTCGATGTCGCAAACGTTCACCAGATCTCGGCGGCATCTTGTCAATTTTCACCATTGACAGCTTGCCAAGATCTGCCGACATGGCCGTTCCATTCCACCGCCTTAGGGTATGCGGCAACATCCTGGTCGGCGCCCGGGGCGCCAGCATCCACACCTTCAACATCACGGACGGCTCACATATTGCTGCATGGCGAGTGCCACAGCCAGCAAGCAAGGAGGAGGAGGAGAAGCAGGAGGATGAGGGTGTACGTCCGCCATCAGAAGATGCCGGTGAGATTGAGGGTGGCGACGATGTGCCCCCGTCAAAACGGAGACATGAGACGGAGGCCAAGGACAACACAAACAGCCAGGAGCAACTACCACAACAAACCAGTGCCAACGGCAACGCCAATGCGAACCCAAAAAAGAAGAAGAGCAAGTCCAAGTCCAAGCAGGCGCCGGCCAGCTCGGCCAAACCCCAAAAAGTGGCAGCCCTGCGCACAGCTGACCTGCCGGTCGTCAGCATCCTCGAGGCCACCGCCGATGGGCGTCATCTCGTCGTCATGATGGGCCATGACAAGACGCTGCGCGTGCTGGCACACGACCTGCAGGGCCACCTGACGCAACTCAGCGCACGAGTTATGCCCAAGCGCCCCTCGGCCGTGGCATTTACGGCCGACAACCAGACGATTTTGTCGGGCGACAAGTTTGGCGATGTCTATGCGCTGCCCCTGATCGAGGTGGAGAAGACGGAGTCTGAAGTGGCAGCGGCCGAACGGGCGGCGAGAGAACAAGAGGCGGCCGAGCAAAAGGCGGCGCAAGAGGCCGCGCAAGAGGCCATTGTCGCGCCTCGACGCCTCGAGGCCAACAAGTTCACCGTCCACACCAAGGGCAACCGCCAGGCCCTCGAGAACCAGCGCCGCCAAAAGGAGCTGCTCATCAAGCAGGGGCTCGACCCGCAGAAGAAGGATGCCGAGGCCAGCGCCAGCGAGTACCAGCTGCTGCTGGGCCACGTGTCCATGCTGACGGCCGTGGCGGTGGGCGCGGGTTTCCGGGAGGGTGAGCTGCCGAAACAGGGCGGCCAGGGCGGCCCGCGCGTCCGACGTCCCCTCATCCTGACGGCCGACCGCGACGAGCACATCCGCGTGACGCGCGGCGTGGTTGGGCCGACCGCGGCCACGAGCCAAACCCACGTGATTGAGACGTTCTGTCTGGGCCACACGTCGTTTGTGAGCCGGCTGTGCATCCCCGCCAGCCGGCCCGATCGTCTCGTGTCGGGGGGCGGCGACGGCGAGCTGCGTGTGTGGAACTTCTGGCCCGAGGGCCGGCTGGTGGGCACGGCCGACCTGGCGGCGCCGGTGGCGAGCGTGGCGGGTGCCGAGGCCAAGGTGGCCCTGTCCGGGCTGTACGCGTTGGGGTCTGGAGCGGCGCGTGGTCCCGATGCCATGACGGACGACGTTGCCGCGGACGCCTTTCTCGTGGCCATTTGCGAACGGTACGTTAAGCTTCACCCCTGGCAGCCATCATCCGTTTTGTATTTGATTTTGGTGCATGCACTAACAACACAGAATCCCCGCCCTCTTCTTCTTTCGGTTGGCGGCCGACGGCGCCACGCTGGCGCACACACAGACGGTGCAGCTGCCGGAAGGACAGCTGCCGCTGGACGTGGCCGAGGTCGGTGACGGCGAAACCCGTCGGCTGGTCGTGGCAGCCGCACCGGCTGAGGAGGATACTTCAGCAGACGCGTTGGCAACCACACCCCTGCTGTCGCTCATGAGCACAAAAGAGGGCTGGACGGTGGCCGAGACGTCGCCATTTGCCGCGCTGCCGCCGCCCACGGTTGAAGACGACCCAGACTCGGCCACCCTCGACCATGCTGTCCTGCGGAAGCTGCTGCTGCACAGCAACGAAAGCCTGCGCAAGGACAACGAGAGCGAGGAGTAGTTGGAGGAAGTGCTGCAGCATTCGTCATACCAATCAAGTTTGGGCATCATCTAGCGTTTGGCTTTACAAGAGACTTGTCATTGGAAGACATGAGTGAGCGTCACAGTGCAGTTCGTTACAAGGAACGTGTAAAGTATAATATGGTTTCAGGCCTAAATCATTGTAAAACGGGTGTAAAAACAAATGCCGTCTATGGAATCCTCTTAAACGCCAAAAAAAGAGCAAACTATAAAGAAGAAAAGGGCGAAGAAGATAAAACGGAAAGTCAGAAAATGAATGGGAAAAAGAGACAACACAACGTAATAGAACGGCAAAAACGCAAAGAGTATAAGTCGTACCGGTCCACGGACCACGACCCTTGGCCTCGTTCTCGTCCTTCTCCGGTTCCCACATCATGATATCATGGCGTGGCAACCACACGCCACACGCACATTTCATTCCCACCATTGTACACCGCCCATTCTGTCACACTCCAGCCCCACGCTCCAAGAAAATGCACCATCTTTCGTTCTCTCAAAGTCATCATCATCCATGCTATATTTTCGTTTTCTTTGGTTTGCATATATCTTTCGGCGCAGTTTGTAAACAGCAGCAATCGGCCAGGGTCGATGCACGCGCCCAGCCGCTCCCACCTTCGCTTACTGCGACGCGCACTGCACGCGCTCGGCCTGCGGGTGGCCGTCGTCCTCGTCGTCGGACATGGCGTTGGGGTTGCTGGCACCCGCAAAGCCGCGCGCGCTGCCGCCGGCGGTGGGGTCGACGTCCTCGAGATCGGCGGCCTCGGTCATAGCGTCGGTCGGCGGGACGTTCTCGACAGCGGGCGAGGGCAGCAGGCTGCGGAGGGCCTCGAAGGCGGCCGGGTCCTCGGTCCAGTTCTTCTCGGGGAACTTGACGTTGAACTTGATGTACAAGTTGCCGAAATCGTGGTGGCGGTACGTGGGCATACCCTGACCACGGACCATGCGGACAGCGTCTAAGCCGGTTGGTTAGCATGGGATGGCACTACGCATGCACGTAAAATAGGGGAAGGGGGGATGGGTCTGAACATACTTGGTGAAATGGCCTCGCCGGGCAGAATGTCGACGGACAGCCACCGGTCGTCGAGGTGCTCAATGTAGATGGTGCCGCCAGCCAGGGCCGTGACGAGCTCAATGTCGCAGTTGTACAGCAGGTCGTCGTCGCGGCGGGTGAAGCGCGCGTGCGGCTTCTGCTCGATCTCAAAGACAACGTCGCCGGCCTGGATGCCGGGGGCCTGGTCGCCCTCGCCGCGGAAGTCGACGCGCGTGCCGCTCTTGACGCCACGGTCGACGTGCACGTGCAGGACCTTGCGGTCGACGACCGTCTTCTTGCCGTTGCAGTTCTTGCACCGGTCCTTGTCCTTGATGATCTCGCCCTCGCCGTTGCAGTCGGGGCAGGCCGTCTGGAAGCGCTGGATCATGGGGCCCATCTGGCGCATCATGGTCTTCATGCCGTGACCGTCGCAGCCCGGGCAGACGCGCACGGCGCCCTCCTTGCCGCCGCGGCCCTCGCACTTGGGGCAGATCACCGACCGCTGCAGGGCCAACTTAGAGACCTTGCCGCGGTAGATGTCTTCCAGGGAGACCTTGTGCGTGTGGTGGATGGTGCGGGCCTTTGGCGGGCCGCGCGATTGCATGCCGCCGCCGCCGCCGCCAAACATGCCGCCAAGGCCGCCGCCGAAGCCCTGGCCGCCGAAGAACTGGGCAAACAGGTCCTCGGCGGCCATGCCGCCGCCGCCGCCGGCACCGCCCTCGAGGCCGGCCTCGCCATACTGGTCGTAGACCTGGCGCTTATTTGCGTCGGACAGAATCTCGTAGGCGTGGGAGATTTCCTTGAACTTCTCCTCGGCAGCCGGGTTGTGTGCGTTCTTGTCTGAATGGGGACGTTAGTCAAGCGTTCTGGACAAGCGCATAGTTTAACAAGTATATTCCATAAGATGACATACCAGGATGGTGTTTGAGGGCGCCGACACGGTATGCTTTTCTCAGCTCCTGCTCGGTAGCTGTTGGCGAAACCTGACAATGAAGTTAGTAAGAGAAGAGGCACGGTTGACCAGAGACCGTAAGAGGCAAGATCAGCAGCCACTGCCCCAAGACAATCCTCAAGACAATAGAGTCCCTCGAAACGTGTCTGGGCTGCGGGCGCACTGGCATATGCGGGCCAAAACTTACGCCAAGGACATCGTAGAGTTTCGTCTCGCGAACCATCGTGGCGGATGTGGTGGGATTCGGAAACCGAAGGGGATATTATTACGGGACAGAAGGGGTATCGAAACGAGAGGAGAGTCGTATCGCTCGTCGCTGTATGTTCGCTTTATCTCAATGAGTGGAAGGTCTGATTCGTCGGTTAGTATCCGGGATACACGTTTTGTTGGATCTTGAAAGGTGGAAGACGAGATCAAGACTGAGGCATGTGGTATAAGACGAGAAAGACAACAACACGAGAGATCTAATCTAGTGAGGCGAGGAAAAGGGAGTGAGAAGAACAAAGGAGAAAGAGGCAAACGAAGGTGCAAGGCTTATCCAAGCAACAGACAGAGGGGGAGTAAACGACGGAAGGCGAGGAAGGATAAGAGCAAGGGCCGGCGGCCATACAAAATATGACTGCAGAACAGAAGATCAAAGGCAGAGGAGTTCCAGAGGAGGGGTGCCGGAGTGAATGAAGGGCGCCAGAAAGGCAGAGAATGTGCTAGCAAGACGACGCAAGCCGGAAGTGTCTCTCGGTGGGGCGTTGGGCATTGGAATGCGATACTCTGCACTCTACACAGAAGCAGAGACGGAGGGCGGACGGCAGACGAGGGCAGAGGCTGAGGGCAAAGACGGGAAGACGCAGAGAGGAGCACAAGGTGCACAAAGAGCAAAAGACTCACTTGGTGATAGTTGCGACGCCAAAGTGTCGAAGAGCTCGAGACGATGTGCAAAGGTCGCAGAGGGCGGAGAGGACGAACGACAAAAAAGCACGGAAAGAAAAGGGAGGCCTGGTCGAGGAGGAAAAGGGAACACGACGGGCTGGTTTTGCTGGAGTATTCGTTTTTCTTCTTTGGTTTTCTGTTTTCGGACTTGGAAGTTGGAAGTTGGTTGGCCGTTCTGGGCAGGGCGTCCGGAAAGGTTTGCTGGGGAAGGCGCGGGCTGTGATAGGCGCAGGAAACCGTGGATGCAGGCAGTTGCAGGCGGAGGAAGGAGAGCCAGGCGGTCAGAGGCTAGAACGGCTGAAATTGCAGGGCGTTCCTTCCGGCGTCGTTCTTGTGTCTGCACGCCGACCAGCGCTGTATTTCTCTGCCAATAAATCTTGCCTCTGTAAATGTCGCCTACAAACTGACAAACACCCTTCTCATGGACGCCTTCTTGCGATTTCTTTGTCCATCGGACGGATTCTGCATTCTGCCAGGGGCAAAGAGGCCGCGGTGAGGCAAAGAAAAAACTAGAAGTCTCAAGATAGGCTCCGAATGGTCGGCTGCGGCCAGAGCGAGCGGCCCAAAAGTCCCTGAATGCGCTAAAACAGTGAAAGGAGAGCCTAAAACTCTTCCGAGGGAGTGTCATAGTGGAAAGCGACCTTCCATGCAGCGTCAGAAAGTGGCGCCCCAGCCCCGCCGATGGAAAGCAATGGAAGCTCCTGGAGTGGTTGGGAAGCGCGCTAGCAGAGGCGGCATGAAGTAAAGGTACCTCTGTCATCTACCTATATATGCGGCATCGTTCGTACTAGTACATTACTGACTTACACGCGTTGAAGTAGAGGTACATATTCGCATCATTTTTGCCGGCTATTGTCGGTGCGGAAAGAGTACCTCTACATCACATGCAAGGCTGTGCTTAAGGCTGTTAAAGGCATGATCACAAACACGGTTCACGATGTTTTGTCAAGATTGAATATAATACCAAGAACAATATATTAGCGTAGAGTCAGTCAGTGCAAATCAAAAAAAGTACAAACAGTCTGCAAGGTTGTAAATAATTATCAGGCGGGCAAAAATCGATCGTCAACTCATACACCTCAGCTTGTCAGCGATCGTCCAACACCATCCATCGGCCATCAGCGACGCCGTCGACTTCGACTCTTCCACGCAGCTAGTAGTCAAATGTCTCGCCAACCAGAGTCTCGCTCAGCGTCCACAGACGCGCCGCCAGCTCGGGGTCCTTGGCGTAGTCCAGGATGCCCGTGTCCACGGCCGACGACGAGATGGTCGCGCCACTCTGGCCGGCGAGCGCGGGGTCGTACGCCGCCGTGACGTAGCTGGCCACGCTCTGGGCCGCCGAGATAAAGGGCGCCGCCGGGTTGAGCGAGCCGTCCTCGAGCAGCCAGCCCAGCGACTTCTGCACCGCCTCGGGCACGTAGCGGCCCAGGCCCGTGGTGCCAACGGCACCAGGGTTGACCGAGAAGGCCTCGACGCCCTTGCCGGCCAGCTTCTGGGCGAGACCGACGGTCAGGAGCATGCCGGCCGTCTTGGACTGGGCATAGGCGGCAAAAGCGTCGTAGGCAGCGCGGTTGGCCGGCGTGTCGTCGAGGACGCTGGGGTCGTCGAGCGCCCTGACGGGCGAGCCGAGGTACCCGCCCGACATGACGGACACGACACGTGCACCGCCGGCGGCCGTCGAGCGGCGCAGGGCGGGGACCAGCAGGTTGGTCAGGAGGAAGGGGCCAATGTGGTTGGTGGCAAACTGCTTCTCGACGAGCTTGCCGGCGGCGTCGGGCACGCCCTGGTACGTCTGCAGCATCATGATGCCGGCGTTGTTGATGAGAACGTCGAGGGCCAGGTCCGGGTGTCTCGCCGTCAGATCGGCGGCCGCGGCGCGGACCGACGGCTGGCTGGCGAGGTCCAGCGGCAGCGGCTCAATGGCCGTCTTGGCGGCGTCGAAGCCGGCGTCGGCCTTGAGGCTGGCAATGACCTCGGCGATGGCGTCGGGCGAGCGCGAGGCGAGGATCAGCAGCTTGGGCGCGTGCGCCGCGACGATGCGGGCGGCCTCGGCACCCAGGCCCGACGGCGACACGCCGGTAATCAAGACGGTCTTGCCGACCATGTGGTCGTGGAGCTGGGCGGCGATCTCGTCCGAGGTCGCAGTGCTAGCGGCGCCGACGTCCAGCTTGTTGAGGTCAGCCGTAGCAACGGTGCCAGACATTGTTGATATTTGAGAGGTGGTGATGGGACGGGGTTATGGTAGTGGGTCGAGTGATCGAGGGTGCAGATGCAGACTGTTGAGATGTCGAGAGGCGGTTGAGTGTCGCGAGTGATGTTGTTGGTGGTGATCAAACTTTTCGACATCAACAACTTCGACGGCTCCTCCCTCTTTTATAGACATTTGTCGCTCCTTTCCCGACAGCGTCTCCTACCATTGTATCATGATGACGACAGGTTTTGATGATGAACGATTGAAAGACAATTGACAGCGGTGATGATGGAGGACAACGACAGTGCAGGAGACAAAAGTGATGTTGCCCGGTCAAGGTGGTTGAGAAAGGCTGTGCCGCCAGCGCCCATATCTTCCACAGCACTTGCTGATGTATCACGGTCGTGATGGCGCCAAGGAGAAAGCGACATGACTACATGCCAAAGACCAGAAAGAGACACTGCTTATGGTCTGCTTCTTCCGCGTGCTTTCCAGGCCGCCAAAGGCTGCTTGGAGTCAGTAGGGCGGGCGATCATGGCGTCAGCCGGGGAACGTGGCGTTCTTAAGCTTCAACGGCAGATCGTGCGGGCGTGTGAATATGAGGCTCCGGCAGACTCTAGCACTTTGTTGATGACGACAGATATCAACTTGGGAGTGTGCAACCGACAGTTCCCCACGCAATCCCGCCGAATCAGCATTCCAATGTGGCGTGCCTTTGGCTGTCTTGTCCGTTTTCTGCTGACGCTGAAAAGTGGGTCCAGCCATTCTGCTGATGCTGATGCTGATATTGCTACCGTATGAAGTGCAAGTGCCCGTAAAATCCATCAGATGTGGCTGGTCCAGTGCGGTGTGGCTTGACGGTGTCGTTTGATCCCCACAAAATGTATTAGACGTATTCCACAATATTAATAGCACTTGCCCTTTTTGGGTGCAATCTCAAGCGCATCGTCAACAAAACATCACGAGAATCCGCGAACGAGTTGACTACCATTCTGCCGGCCAGCAGTTCCTATAGCCCATCACGGTCTTACAGTTAGAAGCATTATACCATCTACGAGAAAGTTTTCAACGTCTATAGTGACATCCCAGCACGTACCCATCCTTGTCGCCCACCCAGCAACCAGAATGTAGGTGTTCCCTTTTCCCATCTCAAATATTAGCGTCGTCCTTCAACTCCTTCACACCCCTTTTTTGTAATTAAAAATCACACTGCCCCACGAAGCCTTCATCTGAAACTTTTTAAGCTCCTCGTCGCCCCCCAACGATGTGCGGCATTAGGGTCCGTAGATCATTCATGCGATCTATGGGGTCCGCGGTTGGTGATCCAGAAAAATCGATTGTATGGCTGCGCATGGTAAGCAAGGGGTGGTGTGAGCAAAAGGACTTTATCATGCAGATTCTTATCTTAGAGTAAAGTGGTGTCGCTGTGAGTTGCCTCCCGTTGGTTCATATGAGAGCCATTACGCCTCTGCCTTGGCAAGGAGGTAAGAATCCCAAGAATCCTCATAGTCTGCGAGCTGGGATGCGGTAAACTGCACGTACCGCTCCATCTCCGCCTTGGCCTCCGGGGGCAGCTCTGGCGGGGACTCGGGCCGGTGAAACACAGCCCAATAGATGCCGTCGACGTGGTCGGAGTTGTTCAGCGCATAGTCGAACCAGACGCGTCCCGTAGTCCACGAGTCGTGCATCAGAGTCGACAGCGGCGTCTGCCCCGGCGGCGGCGTCGTCGTCGTCGTCGTCTGCCGCTTGCGTTCTGCGCGTCGCATGGCGTCGAGGAGCCGCTGGAGCAGAGGCTCGTATTCCCGCAGAAATCAGGCGAAGTAGCCGCGGTCGAGACAGGTGCTGGGCAGATAGCGGGCCAGCCACAGAGGCGGGTCGCTGGCGAACTGTGCCGGCATGCCATTGGTGAACTCGAGGTCGAAGACGCCGGTGATGACCCCCGTCTCGGGATGGACCGTCATATTGCGGGTGTCGAGGTCCGGGTTGAACGCGCGGAAGGGGCCCAAGTTGTCACCTGGGGGGCAGAGCGTAGGCGTCGCAAAGAGCTGCTGGAAACGGTACCGGCCCTCAAAACGGAGGCGTGCAATCGCCTCCGATGTGTCCGGCTGGTGGTACGCGCCCGGCTCGTTTTCGTTGTCATTCGTCTGCGGGGCGTTGATGTTGCGCAGCGTCCAGAGCTGGGTCGACTGTTGCTGCGCGACAAAGTCGAGGTACGCCCTGGCGCTGGTGAACGGCTCCGTCGGCCAGTCGTCGGTCGGGTAGTTGGGAATCCCGAGGGCGTTCTGGTGCATGTCGATGGTGAGCGGGGGTCTCGCAATGGTCCGTGTCCTTGGCCCCGTGGGCGTGTCGTTGGCGACGGACCCAATCGCCTCGAACTGCAGATCATAGAGATCAAGATGGAACGACGCGAGCTGCTGGAGAATGATGGATTGCAGCTCATCAGGAGGCCCACGCGCCAGGACATCGCGGAGGTTGTCACCCTCGGCCCAGTCCATCAAGATGTAGGGAAGCCGGAGAGGCGACTCATGGTACAGCTCCTTGCCAGAGCGGTACACGCGAGGGACGGGTATGCATGTGTCCTTGATGCGGATGCGCTGCATCCAAGCGGCTTCATTCATCATCTTCTCGGCGGCGAGCGCAGCGGCCGAATGGCCGGGCTTGGCGACCTTGATGGCGACATCGCCGCCACCGGACGCAAATCGGAAACGAAACACTCGGTTGTAGGAACCTCCGTACGTGTCGTTCTCGACGAGCTTCGCGGGACCACGGCCTTTGACGTGATCGCTGACGAACGCCTCCAGAATGCGAAAGTGGCTTCCCTCGAGGCGGCCCTTCCACGCATCGTACTCATCCGTGCCTTTTGCGTAGAACAGAGCATCATAGCCGACCTTGAGCGAGGGTGTCTTGTCCATCTTGGAGGATGCGATGGAATTGGGCAGACCAGACCGATCGATATGGTGGTTGACAAGGTCGAAGATATATGCACGTGTCGAGAAAGACTGATGGACGTTGAATGCTGTAGACGCAGACAGTTGGTGGAGGACAGAGAGGGGCGAGGTCAGGCCAGATTTGGTTTTGTTTCAATGAGCCCTGCCCAGTGACCCAACCGCCACATTCGAGTGGGCTGTACTTGCTGAGACTCTTGTCCCTTGCCTTCGGTTCATGCAGCCAGGTCATTCAGGTGCATTGTCGTTTTTACTGTCACAGCGATGCTGTCCCAAAATAACTCAAATTTGAGAAGGAATATTTTCATGATGAACATCCTGTCCTACAACACCTCCGCCTACGTAACCGGCTCTCTAATGCTAACAATCATCGTACGGGGAGCCTGCCCTCCCCTCATCGTGAACTTATGCTTCGCACAAGGTGCAAAACCAAATCCTTGACCTTTAGAATATCCAACTTTTTCACCTTCTTCACCTGTTGCTCTCTTTCTCGTCTGCATTGCTCTTGCCTTGCACCCAAGGATGAGAGAATGCCTGGACCGACAAGGGGCGGTCCTCTGGCAGCCATCGAAGCAGGGACCGTACAAAGTCAACAAACGCAGTCTTTTCGTTGCCCTGCAGCTTCTTTGCCAGCGTCTCGAAGCTCACGCCCTCAGGCACGGCTGGCGACCCAATCCAGTTGCCTAGAAACATACATGAGTCATTGTGGCTCCCACGAGCAGCGGTGGTTCGTAACTGTCACATACCTTGATCGTCCCAATACTTGGATGTTTCGGACGTCTTTCGATTTAGAAACTCGATGGGTGGTGGCCCTAAGAGAGCCACCATGTTGGCAAGGTGGCGGGCATTGCTCTGCTCCCGCGATTCATCGGCCTCTAGCTGAAATAGAATGTCGTCTTCCACCAGATTCCACGCCTTTAGGGTTGGTGATTGTCAGAACACGTCATATCCGTGGTGTGTAAGGAGGCCAGAAGAGGGTGCGACCTACCAGAACACCCACGTTCCACATATCGATCTTCTTGTCCCACGGCATGCCGAGAATCACCTCGGGGGCCCGAAAGGGTGCCGGCATGGCGATTCCTTCGTGTCGAGGACCAATGCGCGCTTGCCCCATGTCGCAGAGCGCCAGAGGGCCGATACTGTCTACGACACCGAGACTTGCATGGATCACGGTGCCATCGACATACTTTCTCCGCGACGGCGTTCTTGCTTCGAGGCTGGCAATTTTGTCAAACACAGCCTGGTCCATGACGCCGATCAGCAAGTTGTCGGCATGGAGGTCTTTATGGTTAGCAGGAGCATTAGAAATGTATCATTTCGTGTCCGAAAACGTAAGAAAACGAAGAATTGGTACCTGTATAGATGACGTCGGCCGAATGCAGGTAGTTGATGGCCAAAAGGACCTGCTTGACAGCCAGCCGTGCCATAAGAGGCGACAGTACGTTGCCGGGCCGGTAACGGTACTCGCCCAGGGTCACGCCGGCAGCCGTCAGGACAAGCACCTGATGTGTTCCACTTCCATCCGGCCCTTGCAGCTCAAACGCGTCCCGAAGCTCGCAGATGTGCTGCTTGCCGGGGTGGTTTGGGCTCCCGTGCACCGTCAAGTGGCGGTACACGTCCAGCTCGCTCGTGCGATACTCTTCTGGCATTGTGTTGACCTGGATCTTCATCGCCCAGTATGTGCCGTCCCTGGACAAAAGTCAGCGCGACAAGATAGGAGACAGGAAGCCATCGTCAGGTCGGTGACAAATACGCACTGCAGATCTTGGGCCAGCCAGACAGTCGAGCTTGTGCCGTAGCCCATCTTGGCCCCCAGCTGGTACCGCCCGTGGATGATGTCGCCATTGCGCGCCGGGTAAAACGCCTCGCGCGTGTAGTGCGGCAGAGCCTCTTCCTCGAAGGCGGTGGAGGCGTCCACGGTCTTGTAGCCTTCGTTGGCGAAACTGCGCGGCTTTGGCATCGTTTTGAGATGTGACTACGGCGACAGATGATAAAACGGGGATGAGGAACTGTGGGGGGAAGGGTGGGATGCGACCGACGTGAGCCCCGTTGGCCGGAGTGGTGTACAGTCGCTCCGATGGCCACAAATAAAACGATTGGCAAAGGGAGCTGTTATTTTTCAAGGAGTTCGCTGTGGCATTAATACTCGGCAAGCACCGAGCCACCGTCCGCGTCAAGGTGATGACTTTTGCAGTTCCCAAGAAGGCCGATGCTGTCGTTTGCTGGCCAACGTGACTCATTATTGAACACCTGCTCATTAAAGGAGAGGCATGTGGCCATGTGTGTGCCTGACGTCTATTTTGGAGCATGGCTGATTAATTAGTCTTGAGTGCATACAAATTACAAGTATGTCGTACGAAGACGTAAGTACAAAACTCCTCACTGCAAGCGCCATAAGTAGCGGCCCGGCCCAGCGAAATGCGGGGACAAACAGCGCTTTCAGGCTTCCATGTCATTGCCATCTCACTATTCCAATGCGCCAAATGTGCCTGACAAGTCGGCCCCCTTCAAAAACTGGCATGTCCACCTCGTATGGTTTGTGACAATCCCTGCATTTTCTTTGTTCCTCCGTCCACTTCCACACCTTGTCTCTCACCTGTCTTCCTTTGACGTGCATCGCCACCTACCGAGTGTTCATTTCAGTTCATTGGACCTGCAAGTCGTACTTTCATCGTTTATCGGAGATCATGATGTGGCCAAAGCTCAACTTCTGTGCGCATTGCAGCCAGTACGATCTGCTCGGCATTGAATTCATTCATTACTTTGTCAAAACCTGGCTCTTTGGATCTTCACGTCAATGCGAAACCACAGCTTTCGGACGCAGCTGGTAACCTTGTCGATAACCTGGTTCACCAGCCGCTTGACAGGGGCCGCGGATTAATGCCTCGTGGATATGAGGCTGTGCAAGCAGAGCAGATGGAAAATAAAAATAAAACAAATAATAAAACAAAGAGAGAGAGAGAGAGATTGTTTCCTCTATCGCAAAAGAGAAATAAAAAAGAAATAAAAAAAGACAAAATCATAACTCCGATACGGGGAATCGAACCCCGAGCTCGACGGTGAAAACGTCAGATGTTAACCATTACACCATATCGGATTTAGTCGCTTATGGGATTTCGCCCCGAATGGTAATTATATAGCAAAGCGCGCTAGCGAGACGACGAGGGAATACTAGGAAAATTACGAGGTGACGTCAACCGCCCACGAACAGAAGATGTGAAGGGCTACAAAAAGGTTAATAAGCTCCGATATGAGGCTTCGAACCCCAGCTCGAAGGCAGAGCGTCGGATGTTGGCCATTACACCATATCGAATATGGAAGGCTTGGTTTGGTGGGTTCGTTGGATGCTCAGCCGGCGCTTTGATCGGCCACAAAGAGTCTATTGCCGGGGAGAAGCCTGATGATGTCGAGTTTGCCTCTCCTCGTCGTTTGGTCAATATGCCAACTTGCACACGTCCCCGGTGTCGGACGCAAGGATGGTTTCCTTTCTGAGACTGTGCTTTTTTTGTTTTCCTGTTTTGCCTGGATAGCATGCGCACAGATCCTGCGCTCCCACATATTCAATGCTTCAATGCCCCATGGTGGAGGAGATTGTGTGGCACACAGACCACGAAACGCAGCAAGACATACAAACGACCAAAACGGATAAAACATAAAACGCGAAAAGAAGGAAAGTATGCAAACGCAAAATGGCGGGGACAACAAAAAAAGAGGCTTGTGCGCCGCACATATTGACGGCATTGAATCGGGATGGCACAACTTGATATCCTGACAAAGAGCATCGTCGATCTATGTTGCGTTGGACCGGGACACGACTCAGTCTGGTTAGCCACCGACCACGAGGGTGTGCAGATGTGCAGACGCAACAATGTGTTGGCGGTACAGCCGGCGGCTATGGCAAAAAGTACGATGCTGCGGCCAGTTTGTGAGACATGCGTCGTAGGTTTTTTGGGGTGTCTCCCTGAGGGGAAAGAGAGAGTCTACACCACCTTTGCTCTGCATAAGGTTGCCCCTCCTGTCGTTTCTGGGCGCATTGTCGATGACAGGACGCAAGGGAGACATGTAAGTGACAATGGGATTCGTGTCTACGGTCACGCCGGCCGCAAACGCAGATCTAGTACACTCTGGCATCCAAAAGGAAGATCCTCGGGACATTCTTGAATTTTAGGCTTTTTTTGTATTGGTTTTGCTCACTTTGACAGGTTTTTTTGGGGAGGGGGGAATTTTGCTATATATCTAAAGTCTTGTTTTTATTTTTGGTGTTTATTTTAGTCTTGATATACACACTTTTTCGGACATGATGAACAGTCTGAGAGGGCCAATGCTCTTTACAACTTTACTTCTGTATATTTAGGATGATTCTTGTGTAAAGTCGACTTTCATCGTTTATTCTTTTACCACATTTCGTGCACGGCACTCTTTGACCCTTACTGTGGACGTGAGGGGTAGGCAACTGGTCGTCATTCGTGCATATCTAGACCATGCATAATGCAAGCTATGACGCACCCAAGCAACATTAGCTAGCCTCGCATTTTGTCGTTTTGGACCGACTTACTTGTTTTGTGTGCTGTCGGGGACACTGGCATTGTACATCTGTTTGTCTATTCATCCTATGCCTTCCCCTTTGCAATGACGTTTGGTCTGCTTCGCCGTGGAAACCAGCGCAATGATGGACAGTATCCTCACCCGCCACCCATGGTATTGTTCGCCGGGACGAACGCTCATCCAACCGCATTGTCTCGACTGCGAATGGCTTTGGCTGGTACCGTCGGGCTATATATTTGATGTGCAACCTATTTTTTTTTTTTTTTTTTTTTTTCCAAGGGCATAGTTTTTCTTCCGTAATCCCCCCCTTCTTCGTTTGCTTGACCAATGCTTTGCGTCGCCTGCAAATGTAGAGAGATGGTTCATGACGTTTGGTTCCGGTCGGGAGTGGAGGGGCGGTACAGCATCGCACTGCTCACTGCACGCAACCGGACACGATGAGATCAAGTCTGGGTAAGCCATGAGCCTCTGCAAAGTATTATCCAACGAACCAGACGAGTCGATGCCATGTTCTCCAGATGTGGACAAACAGCATGTGCGTCTTCCCGAACGTGGTATAACAACAAGGTAGCTTGCATCGCCAACCGCATCTGCAGCGTTCCCATGGCGGCTGTTCAGACGCGGTCCAGAGAGTATTTTGGTACTTTTGCACAACTGCAGCAGTCGCTCTATATTTATCGACGTGTCCGTGCGGCACGGCAGAAAACGCTGGCCAGCAACTGCTCCCCAAAAGTGCTGTTGGGATACGTCCAGCGCTTATACAATTACGTGAGGCTCTTTGCGCGATCTTGGTTCACGAATGAGAAAACATTGTGGATGCCGAGCAGTTCCCAATGCACGTCCAGTGCAGTGCAATATACGAAGTACCGTTTCCTATTCTGGATGTCATAATTCGTCTTGCGCAGATTGTCTCTGGCCATTTTCAGCTGCTTCCGGGTGGAGTACAGAGGATGTCGTAATTATGTGGTAATTGATACCTATTTTCAGAAACCGTTTTCGGCTTCCCATTCAGCGATCCCGTCAACCAAAGAACTTGGAACGGAATTGGTGCTTTTGACCTTAAAATACACAAGCGATAGAGCTCTCGCAGAGACACGGGACGGGGAGCACGTCAACGGTGGAATCAATGGAACGGTGTACATGTACGAATTATGGTCTTGATGTTACTTGGCGTTGTTTTGGACATCATGGTTTTTGTGGTCTCTTCACGAATTCTTTTTATGGAGCAGCAGTTGCTTTTCACCGTAGCATTCGGTGTAAAATTTGCTCGTCCGTTCTTGTTTCCCGTATTGTTTTTGTCTCTGTGGCTTGGAAAACACGCACGGAGAGTACCTTGTAGATACGTTGACGAAAGTGGGTTCTCCCTAATAAAACAGAGTACCATCGTGGTGCATCCTGTTTCGTTTCAATTTTAACGGGGAGGAAAGAGATCGAGGTGAAGAAGAAAAAGACGAGAAGAGAAGGAAATGTGCAGCAGAAAAGAAAGACATCGCCAAACCACAACAAACCTAATTTCCGACAGACCAATCACCGTGGACCGGAACACTCGACGGGACCACAAGTCATTTTATTTTCAGTGCGTCAGGACGAAAGAGGTCCCGCATCCCCCCAGCTTCGCTTCATCAGCGTGGCAGGGGTGGCCCCTGTCCACGAGAGAAAAGTGCAACCCAAGACCCAAGCTCCTCAGGGCAAGCTCTGTCTGCGTTGCTGTTCGTCGTCGCCCAACGGTCAACGACGTTTCTGATTGCGGCCATGCCAATAAACGGACCGGCGACGTGCAAAGTTGCATACTTTATCTTTTCGTCGGCCTCTTAGTCGGCACAACAAAGTGCTTTGCTCTGCACAACACAATTCTACACATACCTCCCCTACAGTCTGTTTCGCGACGATTCGCCTCGTTGCACGCACAACATACCTCCTTGCATCCGACGGCCTGGCGGGCATCGTTTGCATCGGAACATCCGGCGTTGACTTCTTGGTGACATATCTTACGTGTACGAAGTAGGCGTCGCTGGAGTCTTGGCCTTTGTTTTCGAGAATCGAATCCGTTTTCTGGGTCCGGTTTTCAGCCTTTTGGCTTCGGGACGTCGCGCTGTCCACCCCGTAGCTCGTCTTTGTGTCTCAGTCCGTTGTGGGCCACGAAGCTGTGCTCGTATCTCGCGGGAGGAAATCATGCCCTTTCGGGTCTCCGTTTCCTCGTACTTTGCGTATGGGCGAGTGAGCCAAACCGCAGTGTCCGCCAACTGCCTTCAGGCGAGGACTGCCTGGCGATCGATTCGGGCTGTTCTTGCTTCTTTTGCTAGCTGTGTTTTGACTGTCTATCCGCGTCACGGCAAGGATACGTCGTGGAATATACGTCGTAGTGCTAGAAGACGGCACAGATGGGATCGATATCACGGAAAGGCCTTCTGCCGACTGAAAGACAAGACATCCCGGCACAGGGCCGTCTGCAGATGTTGAAATTATCCAATATGTAGGAATCCAGACAGCCACACACCCAGCCAAACAAGCAAACAAGCAAACAAGCAAACGAGAAACAAGAACACAAGACGGCACGCGACACGACACGAACACGGATGCCGTTGCGGCGCGTGTCAATGGTGGGTTGGACGATACGAAGTAATTACATCGTATGAAAGCGAGGACAGAAAGTAGAAAACGGCAGACGGGAGATGGAAACTTTTGTCGGCGAAAGGCCTGGAATGCGGGCGGCCTGGGCCAGGGCATTGGGTCCACAGGGTCGCGTTTTAGGGAAGGAGCAGCGCTGTGAATGTGAGAGCAGAGCAGCTGTATCACGTCCCACAGAGTCCACAAGACCCCAACAGAAGAACGCAAAAACGAGCAGACGCGTACGGCATACGTCGTCTGGCGCAATCAGAGTTCGGATGGAGGTCTAGTCTGGACGAAACCGACAATCTTGACAAGCCTCTTTTTCTTTTACTTTTGGCCGGCTGAATTGCAGCAATCCGCACTTGCCTTGAATAGAGGCAGTTGCATCGCAAGCTACGGAGTATTGTTCCTTCCTCGTTTGCTCCCACGACAGCGCGCGGTCTAGCTCCGTCAATAGCTTGCCTTTAGCTCTTTCCTCCGCTAGCGAACGTGTTCCTGCCTGCCTTCTATCCACTCCTTCTATTTTGGCTGCGTTTCTGCCCCTGTCAGTCTCATTGGCCCTTTCCTCATTGGGCTAGTCCCCGTGCTGTATCAACATCGGACCCTTGCATGGGGAGGCAGACCGCGAGCAGAGAGGAGAATTCCTGGGTCTCTCATGTTTTGTGTCTCTGTCTCGCCGTCCGCCAGGGGGATTTTCCTCTCTCCACGCACATCCCGCACCCTAAAGGCGTAGAATTTCCGTGGGCTGTCAAGCCCCATCGCTGCTCGCTGTGTTTACCTGGTCGCTCTTGCCCGACGAAACCGTTTCGAACGCTCCTTCCGTATTTACCTCAGTTCCCGGTGGTTCCTCCCCCAAAACAAACCTTATGGTTGACGTCCAGCCTGCTGTGTCGCCTGTGGTGCCTTCCTCATCGAGAGAAGAGCAATTTCACACTACCTCGTCTTTCTCTCGCACCCCCTTTTGCTTCTTGTCCTTCACTAATCTCCTTTTCCACTTCATTTTCGAGTGTGTTTGGCGCATCTCATTCTCAGCCTTTGGCTTTCAACTTTCTTCGGTTTCGCTGTCGTCCGAGACTGATGCTTTGTATTAAGCATTCTTGGCGGTCTCTACGTATCCTTTGTCGGTACTACAAGCATATCGCCAAGCCATTGCAGGCCAAAGGTACTTCCACTTTCAACAAATTGCAATTTGAACTCAAAACGGCATTCTCTACGCCCGATTTGCTGCCAGCCCCAGCCTCCCACGTTCTTTTTCGTTCGTTTCGTTAATAATCGTCTTTTTCTTTTTTTGTCTTTTGTCCACATTCCCTTCCCAGCCACCCAGAGATCCAACATCTGCGCTCCAAACTTAGACTCTGTCCTGTTGCATGGAAAATCACTGCAGCGCATACCACATCCTGCAGCAAACCACACTGTCCGCAGGCCTGCAGGACGCCTCGCATTGACCCATTGATCCAGCACTGTCCTCTTGTCTGGTAATTCGAGTGGCCAGGAAACGGCAACAAGCAGCAACCCGTGAGAACAGGCGGATTCGCAAACAAACGCAGGAGTCAACTCATCATTTCAACTCACTGAGGCTCCTCTATTGTAGCCGCAGCACTGCGACCACTGATCACCGCTCGCTCCGCCCCTCTTATCTGTCCGTTCGCACACCTTCTCTTCCCGTTCCCCAAGGCCTGAGATCCCAAGAGTGAGCCAAGCGGACAACCGCCTGCCCCGTCTGCGACACCGTTATTGCCTCCACACCATCTGCTTGTGCGCAGTTCCTCTTTTAGCCCTCCGTTTTGCTTGGGCTCGTTATTCTGTACTTGGGCTCCTTTTTCTGTTGCCGGCGGCTGCTTCTTTCAAAACTTACTGAGTAGTCTCAACTGGCTGGGTCTGGCCTGGCCTGCAACTGTGGCCCTGCTCCTGCGCCTATTGCTACCTCGCCAATTTCTTTTTCTACTACCCTGTACCCCCGGTCGACTCCTCTTCCTCTCATTCTCTTCTGTTTTCTCCCCCTTCCCACCCCTACCTTTTTCATCGTCACTCTGTGTCCTATCTTTCTCCTTCTCTTTCTGCTTCTGCATTCCTTTCGGATTTCACGACAAAAAAAACGCCAAAGGTCTCACCAGCGTCGACACGAAATCACTGACATCGCCTCAACGTTGTTCAGTCCGGACCGGTTAACTCAGTCGCCATTCTCCAGCCAGCTTCCATCGGCCCACGCAGTCGTTACCTGGAACCTGAATCGATAGCCAATTGGACCCGAGCCAAGGTCCAAGACACAAGACACAATACATAGAACAATAGCACAACAGGACAACAGGACTTTGCAGCCCGACGCGTTGGCGACTCAGCAGCAAGACAAGCACAACGAACTCCAAAAATTGTGTCGTCAAACCGTGCAATTATGTCGATGTGTGCGCAGTAAAGCTCTTCTCTTTTTGCTACGAGCCTGGACTTCCCCGATCCCGCGCCACTTATTACGCCTATCCATTCCACGGCACATAGGACCGGTCGTTCGAACAGCAGAAATCTGACCACACCTCTCGACAACCGGGACTCGTCTCGAGAGCAGCTCCCCTGAGAGCTTTCCTGCCAGTTTCCTACGGACTTGCGACAGCTGCGACACTCTCAGTCACCTGCGTATCGACACATCTTGCCGCCATGTCGGACTGCTTTTCTTTACAGGGCTCGACGAGGTGCCCGGCCTTCCAGTCAGCCTCCATATCACCATCGGCTGCTCGCGGTCAATAGTGCGTCGTTCCCTTGCATCTCCTTTTCTGGACCTGGTCTTGCCTCGCCATGTCGGCCTCTGCTAACTCGATCCAGTGACTTTCTCAAATTCGTTTCCGACCGGGTGACGTTCGATTCACAGCTCGACACGTACATCCAGACAACATTTATTCAAGAACAGTAAGGCTGATGCTCTCGTTTTCACGTTTTCACGTTTTCACGTTCCATTCCTCTCACTTCCCCTTGCGGTAGCTAATATCCCCATTCAGATTCCAAGCCCGCATAGGATGCCAGGCCATAAATCTTGCCAATACAAGCGAAATCTACCCGCGCTACCTGACAAGCACCATCTGCAGTGCCATTGTCCAGTCGTCCATTTCAACATGTGGTCTCTCGGCGGCCAACGCACAGCCGCTGTGCGCGGAAACATGTGCCCAATTTGCCGAGAGCGAGCTGTACATTGTGGACGACGGCGCCCTTTGCGGAAATGCCACGTCAGATGCCATCAAGCTGATAAAATCCGACTTTGCCATCTGTTCGTCCCCGGATACTTCACTTTCCAGCGACTGCATTTACGGCAGCGCCAACGAACCCGACAACTGCGGATACGGTAACAGCACGATTGGCCTGTGTTCGTACTGCGCATCTGGTGGCATCAACTCGACCGACACCTGCTGCTACAACTCCCAGGCCGAGAGCCGGTGTGCGGGCGTCGTTCTGCCGACAATCACGTCGACGATGACCTTCTCCACCCCTTCGTCCACTGCCCCCGCCACCTCCTCGCCGGTTGCCGCTGTCAGCGGCACCCACCATGGCCTGTCTGGTGGCGCCATTGCCGGTATCGTCATTGGATCGGTCGCTGGTGTCGCCCTACTGGCCGGCCTCATTTTCCTTGCCATCATCGCCCTCCGCCGGAGACGCACTGGCAGCCAGAACGGCAGCATCTTCAACCAGCCGTCTCCCGCGCGGCAAGGAGGACTCCCACAGATGTCTCACCCGCATCAGCCTCTGCCGTCCTCGCACGGCAACCAGCCCTTTGACGTCAATCCAGGCGGTCGCATTGCGCGCATGTCGGCTCTTGAGGGTCCTGGTGTGGACGCAGGTGACTCCCCCAGCCCGCCGGGCCGGGGTGCCTCTGCTGGCGCTGGCGCCGTTGCTGGCGCCGTTGCGGGCTATGCTGTCGGCAGACGGCGCGGTGACGACCACTCCTCGTCCGACGGCTACAACGATAGCCCTGACTCCGAAAACCGCACAGGCATTCTCCGGCCACCGCCAACAACGATGCGCCGCAACGGGTCGTTGTCGAGCGGTTCCGTTCTGGCCGGCGAGGACCCGCAGTCGCCCTCGAGCGCCGGCATGTCCTCGCCCCAGGCCATTACCAGCCAGCAGTCCGAGCAGCTGCCGTTCTTCAAGGACTACTATTCCCAGGACGACATCCACCCGGGTGACCGCGTGGCTGTTCTCTGGGCATACCAGCCGCGCGCGGCCGACGAGTTCTCGCTGGAGCGTGGCGACATGCTCAAGGTCGTCGGCATCTGGGACGACGGCTGGGCTACGGGTGTGATGATGGACGAGCGAGCTGACGAATGGGAGGCACGGCGGCAAGCGCAGCGGGACAGCGGTGTGTCCAACACGTCTGGCCGCGGCCGCGACATCTCCCCGGCAGTCAGCGGCGAGATTAAGGCCTTCCCGCTTGTCTGCGTCTGTCTGCCGGAGCACTGGCGCAAGACTATTGAGGGCGACAGCTCGACCGAGACGGCATCAAGTGCACACCCGATGCACGGGTTATAGCCATGGCGCTTCTATGGTGCAAACTCATTCATTTGTATTTCTGCTCGCATCGCGAATAATGTCTTATGAAACGACGTCCTCTTCAAACCCATCATTATACTACAATACACTACCAGCCTCGGAGTTTGGCGCTTTTTCGCCTCGCATGGCCCCACCACCACCAACACAACATATACAATACGCCTTCCACCTACCAACTACCATTGTTGCGTTTCTTTTGTTGTCTTTTTTGTGGATATGGTCTTGGGACCTACCCAACCGACTCTGCCTCAGGGCGACCTTGGTCACCTATCCAACAACAACAATCTTCTACTCGTCTTCGGCATCTTTTTTGTTCTACTACGCAGCGCTTGTTCGATTTTGTCCATACGTCATAGTTTCGCTTCACGACTCTCCTTTCGATGTCTGGCTTTTTATTCTCACTTCCGGCCTTTGGCCAACCAGCTACGGCGCATAGACACGACCCGAAGCTATTTAGCTATTTGCTATCACTCTCCTTGATTCTCATATACAACCATTTCATCTTTCGCCTTTCGTCTTTTCGATCTGATACGATACAGCGTAATGCCTCACCCCTCGTCAACGATTCCCGACAACTCTCTTTAATCGCTGGGAGTGCATGCTTGTCATTCTTATGGTGTGCATATGCTCCTTTTGGTTTTCGAACCAATCTTTCCCACACGATACCCAACAACCTCCAAAGAGCAGCAAGGCGAGGAAAGGACAGGAAACGGACGCGTGGTGTTTGGGCGGGCATTTTCATAATTTCTTCTTCGTTTCGTCTACGTTCCCTCTTGAGGGACGTTCTGACCATGTAATTTCGTATTATTTTCTTTCTTGACCATATTCGTTGTCAATATTACTTTCATTTGTCCCATCTTGAGGATTGGGGAGGGGAGATTGGGAGGAAGGGACGAGGAAGGGGCATGAAGACAGGAAGAGGGAAGCTGAGAATAGCAAGCGTTCTTGTCGATGGGATTGCTTTGGTGAGTCCCAGAGACGAAGCAGCTTATCCCCATTACAGTAGCTTTAAAATACAAGTATTTATTCGATGCATTTATTCGACGTGGTTAATTGTGAATTTATTGTCAGCAACGGTGGACGTTCAATGTCGTCTTATTTATAGCTTGTCTGTGGATCACGTGTATCACGTGGCGCTGCTTATCTTATCGTACCTCTGCACATACCTTATTAGTGCCCGGTGCTTAGTGGCGGGCACCTGCCTCCTGCCTGCTGTGATTGTCATGGACCCATGGAGACCGCCCAAAGGCGTCTAGCAGCTCCAGCATCGTCCAGATCCAAGCTGCGTACTAATGGTAAAACCTTCGTCAACACCGACCAACGCCGAACCAACAAACACGCAATTTAGCATCTATTGAGATTCGAGCTCTATGAACCACGCCTTTCCTCGTACTCTCAGCCCGTCTGCCATGATTCTTCGACAGACCTCCATCGAGCGACGATAGCGAGCTCCTGAGCTCTCGATACCTTTCTCTCCATCCACCTTCCATCACACCGCTGCCCCAATACCGCCCACCTCTTCTCCGCCATGGGCCAGGGCTACTCGCTGACGACGCCGTCGGCGGGGTCGGCCGGCATCGACGTCCCCGAGCTCGGCGACCTCGTCTACGAGAAGTCGATTGGCATCGCGCGCTTTATGAAGAGCATCCGCGCGCGGCACCACGACGGCGTCGTCCTCGTCAAAGTGCTCGTCAAGCCGTATACGCCCATGACGCTGGCTGTCTACCGCGACCGGCTCGTGCGCGAACGGCGCATCCTGGCGGACGTGCCCAACGCGCTCGCGTACCAGCGCATCGTCGAGACGGACACCAACGGGTTTCTGGTGCGGCAGTTTCTGTACAACTCGCTCTACGACCGCATGAGCACGCGGCCCTTTTTGGAGGACATTGAAAAGAAGTGGCTCGCGTTCCAGCTGCTGTGCGCGCTGCGCGACTGCCACGCGCGCGACGTGTACCACGGCGACATCAAGACGGAGAACGTGCTGGTGACGTCGTGGAACTGGCTGTACCTGACGGACTTTTCGTCGGCGTTCAAGCCGGTGCTGCTGCCCGACGACAACCCGGCGGACTTTTCGTATTTTTTCGACACGTCGGGGCGGCGGACGTGCTACCTGGCGCCGGAGCGGTTTGTGCCGTCGGCGACGGCAACAGCAGCGGCGGCAGCCGAGGGGGGCGAGGCCGACGATGCCGAGGAGGACAGTCCGGTTTTGGACGATGACGACGATGACGACGATGACGACAACGACAACGGCGAGCACGAGCACGACCACGAGCACGACCACACCAGACAACCACGCAGACACCGCGGCCGTCGACGCCGTGCTGCACCGCCGGGCACGCCGCCGAACCGCATCACATGGGCCATGGACGTGTTCAGCGCGGGCTGCGTCATCGCGGAGCTCGTGCTGGAGTCGCCCATTTTCAGCCTGAGCCAGCTGTTCCGGTACCGCCGCGGCGAGTACGACCCGTCGGCGGCGCACCTCGGCCGCATCCAGGACCGCGACCTCGCCGACATGATTGCGCACATGATCCAGCTCGACCCGCAGAAGCGGTACGCGGCCGAGGAGTACCTCGACTTTTACCGCGGCAAGGTGTTCCCCGACTACTTTTACTCGTTCCTGCACCAGTACATGGAGGTCATCACGGACCCGGTGGCGGCGCACTTTTCGGCGTCGGGCGCGTCGCGCAACCTGGGCGAGGCGGACGAGCGCATCGACCGCGTGTTTTACGACTTTGACAAGATATCCTACTTTTTGGGGTTCCAGGACGACGCTACGGCGGGGGCGGCAGCAGCAACAACAGCAACAACAACGACGACGACAGACGCGTCCAGCATGGCGACACGGGCACCCCGCCTGGGCCTCGGCCTGTTCCCTGTGCGCCTCAGCATTCCCACCAAAGAGCACAGTGTTCGCGCCGGCGCCGAGCCCACGGCGGACAACGGCGCGCTCATCTTCCTGACGCTCATCGTGGCGTCGATCCGCAACACGGCGCGGGCGGCGTCCAAGATCCGCGCGTGCGACGTGCTGCTGGCGTTTGCCGAGCGGCTGACGGACGAGGCCAAGCTGGACCGCGTGCTGCCGTACCTGATGGCGCTGCTCAACGACCGCGCCGAGATGGTGGTGGTGGCGGCCGTGCGGTCCGTGACGCAGCTGCTGGCGCTCGTGCGCACGGTCAGCCCCGTCAACGCGCACGTGTTTCTGGAGTACATTCTGCCGCGCATGCAGGCGGCGCTCCTGGGCAGCGCGACGACGACGGCCAGCAGCGGGCGCGAGGCCAGCCCGGTGGTGCGCGCGACGTACGCGGCGTGTCTGGGCACGCTGGCGACGACGGCCCGCCGGTTCCTGGAGATGGCGGCGCGGGTCGACCGCATGGTGGGCGTGACGGACGGCGACGCCGACGTGGAGGGGCCCACGGCGGCTCTGCCAGCGCGCCCAGCGCCCCCTCCTGCAGGCCGGAGGAGCAGCGACGACAACGACGACGACCACCTCGAGGACGGCCTGTTTGACGCGGCGCAGCGCGAGCTGGTCGACCTGTTTGAGCTGCACACCAAGGCGCTCATCGAGGACGCCGACCCCTATGTGCGGCGCGCGTTTCTCACGTCGGTGCCGGCGCTGTGCCTGTTTTTCGGGGCGGCCGACGCCAACGACATCATCGTGACGCACCTCAACACGTACCTCAACGACCGTGACTGGATGCTCAAGTGCGCGTTTTTCGACACGATTGTCGGCGTGGCCACGTTCCTGGGCAGCGCGTCGCTCGAGGCGTTCATCCTGCCGCTCATGGTGCAGGCCCTCGCCGACCCCGAGGAGCACGTCGTGCAGGCCGTGCTGCAGGCGCTGGCCGAGCTGGCCGACGTCGGGCTCTTTGCGAAGCCCGTGGTCTGGGAGCTGGTCGAGGCCACGGCGCGCTTTGCCGTGCACCCCAACCTGTGGATCCGCGAAGCGGCCGCGCGGTTCCTGGCCGCGGCCACCAAGTTCCTGTCGCCGGCCCAGATCCGCTGTCTCTTCCTGCCGCTTGTGGCGCCCTACCTCAAGCCGCCGGGCCTCCTGCTCCCTCCGTTTTCGAGCTCATCGAGTTTGTCCAGTTCGTCCCGTTCGTCCGGTGCCGGCGCGTCGTCGCCCGAGCTGGTGCTGCTGGACCACCTCCAACGGCCGCTGTCGCGCGCCGTGTTCGACCAGGCGGTCAACTGGGCCATGAAGGCCGACCGCGGCGCGTTCTGGAAGCCCGTGCAGAAGCTGCGGGGGTTCCCCTTTGGCATGTCGGCGTCGGCGTCGGCGTCGTTTCCGTCGCCCGCAGCGGCGGCGGCGGCAGCAGCAGCGACGGGTGGTCCGGGGGGCGCGGGCGGGTCCGGCGGTGGCCATGCGACCGGCCGGTTCGTGGTCCCGCGCTCGCTGAGCAAGGTGGCGCGCAACGAAGAGGACGAGCAGTGGATCAACCGGCTGCGCAACCTGGGCCTCGCGACGGACGACGAGTTCAAGCTGCTGGCGCTGCGCGAATTCATCTGGCGGCTGAGCCGGCGCAAGATGCACGAGCAGCACGCGTATGCGGACGGCCCCGCGTCTGCGTCTGCGTCTGCGTCTGGTGGCGACCCCAACCTCAACAACATTGTGCCGCTGCGCAGCCTGGGCATCACGCCGCAGACGGTCCTCTTTGACGAGGAGCCGCAGAAACAAACCCACCTGGCCGTCCCGCCGCCGCCGCCTGCTGCCACCATCACCCTCACCACCAACAACAACACGCGTCTCCCTGGCGAGTCGCCCCGCTCGATCGAGGACGCCCTGCACGACGCGTCCATGACGATTGACGACCCGGTGGCCAAGCGCCGGCGGGCCGCCCTCAATGTGCACCGCAACCGGCTGGGCCATCACGACCACCACAACCACCACAACCACCACCGCCACGGCAGTGGAGCGTCGCCATCGCCGGCCGTGCGGGACGGCTACTTGACGGCCGCCTCGCCGACGACGACAGGCAGCA